CTTACTTGCAGAGATCGCTTCTCTTGGCTTGTTATTAGAGAGGCAAACATTAAGACAGGGTGACTCTTTGGTTACCCCGTCATTTGGAGACAATGGACAGCTTTCACTTAAGTCTGAGAATGACGATAGCAACAGCGTTAGAGATAATCAACATCTCAGAGAAGTAGAGAACTTAAGAGTAAAGACTTTATCAGCCAACAAGCGCAAACCTTTTCTGATGCATGAGTTTCTTTTCTGCTCTGGAAAATCAACTGCCCCGCCTTTTGCTTGAATGTCTTCAGTGAGGCTGGATTTCTTACCTGAAAATTGAATGCAGTATTATATGACTGCGAAGGCTTTTCTTTTTAATGAAATCTGAATTTTGGTTGGCTAGCTAATTTTGTTTGGTGTTGTTTATCGAGAAAAAGTCTATCAATGTAGACCAGGCTAGCCTTGTACTCAGAGACCTGCTTGCCTCTGCCTCCCTAGTGCAGAAAGCACCTTTACCTGCTCAATTGCTACATGGCTTAAAATATATATACATATATATATATATTTTTTTTTTTTTTTGAGACAGGGTTTCTCTGTAGCTTTGGTTCCTGTCCCGGAACTAGCTCTTGTAGACCAGGCTGGCCTCGGAACTCCCAGAGATTCTCCTGCCTCTGCCTCACGAGTGCTGAGATTAAAGGCGTGCGCCACCACCGCCCTGCCGCTTAAAAATATTTTTAAGCTTGCCTTCATTTATCTCAGTACACAAACAGGAGGACAACTCTTGGGGCCGAGCTGGTTCTCTCCTTCCACTGTGTGAATGCTGAAATCAAAAGTGTGCACCGCACACCCTACAGTGAATTTATTTTAAAGCCTCCCCCTTTTTATTACTAAACTGAATAAAAGGATACATCAGGTTTTCCCTGGGCATAGGAGTCAAACCAGAGCAGCGTGCATGCTAGACAAGAGTTCCATCATAGGGTTATATCTGCAGGCCACTTTATCTTTTTACTATGGGAAATTTATACAGCCTGAAGTTTATAGATTAGCTATTTTAAAAAAGTCATGCTAACTTCACACTTTTCTTCTGATTCTTCTGAAAACTCTAAGAAAGATAACAGTTCAAACAGTATATTTACAGGGGATCACTTTGAGATTGACAACACAGGACCACCTGAGTCATTCAGTCTATAAAATTCAGGACTTCTCCCATTACATTTGCACACCTGTATGAAATGGCAAATAAACTACAATAATCTGCAAATAGCCCCGTGTTATAAGTTCTTTTGACTTTGGCTACATCGTCACATTTATTAACTGTATCTATAATTAATATAATAATTAATCATAATTATGTAATAATAACAACATAATTGTGTTATGTTTTTTGAGACATGGTCTCATGAGACCTAAAATTTTCTATGTAGCACAAGCTGGACTTGAACTTGGGACAGTCACAGTGCTGAGAGCACAGGTATGCACCACTATGCCCAGCTTGTTACTTATTTCTTCCCTAATACACCTTGTTTTTCCTAAATTAATTTTCTTCTCAGAGGCAGGTGGACCTCTGAGTTCAAGGCCAGCCTGGTTTACAGAGTGAGTACCAGGACAGCCAGGGCTACACAGAAAAACCATCCTGAAAAACAAAACAAACAAAATAATTAATAAGGGCCCAATAGGGATATGATTACTTCTTATAGGCACCTTTGTACAAACTGAAACTAAATCTTAATAATGCGTATACTTAATTAACAGCAAGTGACTCTTCTGCTGTTCTGGGCTGCTGTAATTGTTCTTAGTCCCTGACTAACAGAGACTGTGATGCACATCTCTGGGGTTCAGTCAAAGTTCATAAATGGACAAAACCAAGGAATATGCCAGGGAACAAGATATACTTCTATAATTATTTAAGAAAAAACGGTCTCTTTTTGACTGGTAAGACAGACAGTCAACACCATAATTAAATGGGTCAACCTACCATCACACAAAATAGGTAGAATTTCCTGTCAGGATGCCCTAAGGCAAACAGCATCATTCTAGTGGCATTCTGGCCTAAAAACACAGGCTCTTCCTCTGATCACAAGAGAATAATCAGGAGAATCCATATTGCAGAATAACTGAAGACAACTGGACTAACCTTCAAAAATGCTAGGAGGGGCTAGAGAGACGCTCAGTGGTTAAGAGTACTTGTTGCTCTTGCAACAAGGTTGGTTCCAGTACCACAGAGCTCACAACTGGCAGCACCAGTTCCAAGAAATTCTACACTCTGCTCTGGCCTCCTCAGGCACCAGGCAAGCACCTGGAACACATACACACATACATACAAAGACTCACGCCCATAAAAAGCCTTATTTTTAAAATGCTGTCAAGAGTGGATAGCTGATGTAGACCAAGATGTAAGAGCTGCTACAATGAAGCATGTGTGGACCTTAGCTGTGTCCTGAATTGGAAAAGGAGATTTTCTTTATGGGGAAGTAATCAGTCCCTGAAAAGAAAGCCGATACACAATTCCCTTCAGGAATGAGGCCCTGCCTGGTGTGCTGGCTCACATCCTTAATCCCAGCACCTTGGGAGAGGTATTCACTCTTTGTGTTCCAGGACAGTCAGGGTTACTTGCTGAGAAGGGGGAGAGATGGGGGCGGATGACTATCGTATCCAGCAGAGAAGGAGGGAAGAAGGGAAATAGAGACCGAAGATCACTTCCAGCGTGATCTGGCCTTTTAAAGGCTTAAGGCCACAGGTGCCTATTCTAACAACAAAGAAATTTTCAAATCTAAATGTCATCTTAGGTGTCTTCTGAGACTGTGTAATGTCTTTTTTTTTTTTTTTTTTTTTTTTTTTTTTTTTTTAAAAAAGACAGGGTTTCTCCGTAGCTATGGAGCCTGTCCTGGAACTTGTTCTTGTAGACCAGGCTGGCTTCGAGCTCACAGAGATCTGCCTGCCTCTGCCTCCCAAGTGCTGGGATTAAAGACGTGCGCCACCACTGCCTGGCTCTGTGTAATGTCCTTAAAGAGGCACAGGATGAAACAATTAGGGCTAAAATTCATGATGTCCAAGTTATTTGCAAAATATATCTATACATGTACGGGAGGGGAGGGGAGAGCAAGGCAGGGGGAGAATAGGGTGGGGAATTTAGTTCATAAAAAAAGTACACAAAAAAACCATACCCCTCCCCAGCTACTTTCTGTCCAAAGGCGATCAGCGTTTACTTTGAGAGTTCAAGTATCTAAATTATTTTATTATCTTCCACGTGACCCTTTAGATTATTTGCAGGAGGTTTAGTTAGATAAATTGTGGGACTGACTGGCAACTTTTTTGTTTGTTTGCATTGGCTTTTATCTTTGGAGACAGGTTTTTCTCTGTGTAGCCTTGGCTGTCCTGGAACTCTGTATTTCAGGCTGGCTTGGAAGTCAGAGATCAGCTTGCCTCTGCCTTCAGAGTGCTGGGATCAAAGGTTGCCACTACACCCAGTGTTAATAGTAGGTAACTTTTAACTCAGAATTAATCAGAGTTAGAAGCACTTGAGAAAGAATTCATATTGCTTTCCTGATCCAAAGTCTGGCTTCAAGATAAGAACCCTGAAATACTAAAGGATGAGAACAAGACTTCCTGGGGTTAGCCCAGGCTTGACATTCAATTTCAAATCAAGTCAGTTTGCTGATTGCTGTTGCTCAGCGTTTTGAAATTTGAGGGGAAAGGCCATTTTTTTTCATATCTAAGCTTTACATAGATTATGGAAGTTAATTCATCTCTAAGGTCTCTTGCAGATCTGACACTGTCATTCTGTCTTATACAATCGAAAACCAACATATTAAATCTAAGGGACAAGAGAAAATGTAACAGACAAAAATGATTAATCACAAAACTCATTAAGTAGCAACAACCAAGAACAAAATAACAGGTTCTTTAAAGGTGAGACTAGAAGCCGGCTTTTTACTCTAGCCTCGTAGGAACGTACACAGCCGAAATACAAGAGATAAAATTTGTTTCTTACGTTGACATCTTACACTGTTTTGACTTTGCTTCATCTATTTTAAATGCCTCTAGCAAGGCGCAATGGCTCTAACCTGAGCATTCTCCAAAATGACATCAGGAAAGGGTGCGAGCCCCTGTATTCTAGACACGGTCAGAACCGAGGGAGTCTGGGATTCTCGGGACAGGGAACTCTGTCTGACAGCTCAAGGTCATCGAGGGGAGCCCCGGGCCCTCCAGTCCCGGGGCCTCGGGTGACAAGGCCCCCCCGGAGAGGTCCGGCCTCTCGCCGTGTCGTGCTGCCGGTTGCGCAGCCCCACGCCCCGCTTGCACGCGGCGGCCCCCTTCCCCGAGCAAAGCCCGCCAACCCTGAGGGCACGGGGAAAACGACCGTACTTAACCACAGCTCTCGCATCCGACACCGGTACCGGGCTGAGGAGCTGCGGTGCGCTCGAGTCTGAGATCCGAGGGTCGGCGTGAGGAGGGCGCCGCGCCGCTGGGCAGCAGAGAACACGTGGGGGCAATGATGTCAGGGAGCGCTTAGACCCGCTGACGCAGATTCGCAGATTCACAGATTCGTTACACCTAGGAAGGTGTAGGAGGAAAAGCCAGTACCCCAAGTGAATTCTAAAATCACCTGAGAATTAACTGGTGTGACGATGTGTTAGATGGTGCTCCGTATTGTTCATTTCCTTTCCCACGGCAACCGAATCTGTTGAGTGTTTTAGGAAGCCCAATATACTTAAACCTAGGTCTCTAACGGTCTACAGTTACTACAGTGTAAATAACCCTAGATAAACAAAACGTGTTTATGGTCTGCTCGAGAGTTCTTCAGTCCTCGGGGAAGACCTGATATCGTATCCAAAAATAGACGCGATATGCTGCCTTTAAAATAAAAATAAAATCATATCTCTTTGAAGTCTTTTACGTTTGGGGAATTTGTTTCCACCCGGGCACCTACGGCAGAGCACCAGACTGCTCCAGGGCGCTCACTTCCGGTGGGAGGGTGGGATCTCTGCGCGCAGGCGTGCTGAGTCTCAAGGGCGGGTTTTGGGGGGCAGAGGGTGTTGACGCGCGGGCAACCGAATTTGTTGTCACCCGAAAAGACAGGGCTGCGTGTTTGCGGGCCGCGGTGGGCTAAATCGAGCTGTCCGAAATCGCGTCCGGACTCGTAGGAAGATAGCTACTCAGCTCGCACGAGGGTGATATTTCACAATCAGGATTTTATTTAACGTCCCCTGCGCGCTGTCTCGGCGCACATCTCAAGCCCGCCTCCGCGTCTGTTTGGGTTTTCTGCCGCAGCCCTGGGTGTCGGGGAGGGCTCAGCTAGTACGGCTTCCATAGTGTCTTCTCGTCTCTTGGTACAGTTCCTTTCAGATTTATTCCCTTGGTGTATTAACAGACTCGGCGAGGTTAATAGGTAAATAAGACATTCCTGTCATATTTAGTCTTGGGTTGCACGTCAAAATTGAAATTTACAGCTTTGTCTAAGCTAAGTTCACAATCATTTTTGGAATTCCGATATTCCTCACCCTTCCTTTTTCTTTAAAGAGGCGAAACTGTATCTTCAAATCTGTGAACCCAGAAGAAAGTCCCTCTGTTACGAGATCCACGGGACTTGTTTTGTGACTAGACATATGAAAAATTTTGAGTTTAGCCAGGAAAGGGGGAGAAGGGTTAAAATGCCAGCGAGGAGACTGCGAGAGGTGGTTTCCCCAAAACAAGGGGCCACCTTGGCTGTGCTGGAAGATGAGCTTCCCCGTGTTCCTCCAGCATTGTCTGCAAATAAACGTCTTGCTCTTGGAATGAGGACTGGCTCAAATGGAACGTTAAATGGTACGTGATTCCAAGCGTTGCCGTTTTCCAACCAGTTTATGTTTCCGTAAACTGTTAGACTTTGTTTTCATCTCTAGCTGGTGTTGTGTGAGCCCCCAAATTTAAAGGCGTGAGTGTTTACCTTCCCAAGTGTAAGATCCAAATCTGGTTTGTACGGGTGTTTGAAAAGTAACTTGGTTACTGGAGGAATAGCCAGACAGTCTACAAAATGTATGTAGAACGAATGAAACTTAAATATTTCCTGTTGTACTTCTTTGTGGTGTGGACTCTGCATCCCGTTCTTGTTCACACCCGTGATAGATGCAGCGAGCGTGGATAACCTGCTTAACATTTACCGAATGTTCTAGCTGCCTTTCGGGCCGTGCTATGCGACCTGACATAGGAGAAATGCATAACTCATTCTTTGGTGACTTATGTATTTACAGTTCAGCGGTGCTGTTTAGACCTGTGAGTTTAAGGATCATATTAATGAAGTCTGTACAAGAACAGCAATATACTCGATGTTTTTTTTTTTTTTTTGGTTTTTCGAGACAGGGTTTCTCTGTGGCTTTGGAGCCTGTCCTGGAACTAGCTCTGTAGACCAGGCTGGTCTCGAACTCACAGAGATCTGCCTGCCTCTGCCTCCTGAGTGCTGGGATTGAAGGCGTGCGCCACCACTGCCCGGCACTCGATGCTTTTTGGAGAGCCCCTATAGCTGGCCTTCTGTCAGGCCAGGTTTTTGTGTCTGTCTGGTGTTTTCATTTGTTTGTTTTGGAGATGGGGTATTACTGTAGAGGCCTGACTGGCTTCAAACTCACTGTAGACCAGGCTGGTCTGGAACTCACAGAAGAAATTCGCCTCCCAAATGGTGGGATTAAAGGCACGAAGTACTGTGCCTCGCTATATATGGGTTTGTTCGGGTGAATCACATATTTTTTTCCACGTTGAATAAATACCCTTTAGAATTTTCAGAAAAAGTATATTTTCAAGTGTGTGTGCGCACACACAGGAGTTCATGTGCCCATGGAGGCCAGAGTAGTTGGATCTACTTCGAGCTAGATTTATAGGCCAATAGTGGGCTATTAGAGGTATGAAACTTTAGTCCTCTGCAAGAGCAGCAAATATTCTTTTCTGCTTTGCCGCCTCTCCAGCCCTGGAACAAATTGTCAAGAGAGGGTCTCATTGTGTAACTCTGTAACCAGGCTAGCCTCAACACAGAAATTCACGTTAAAGTACCGCAATAAAAGGTGTTCAACCCCATGTCTGCTCCTACAACATTTTAGATCTCACCTACTTCATTGCTTTGACTGATCCTTATTTTCCTAAATATCAGCCGTAACGTCTTCCATTGTAATATATTTAAATGTATTTTCTCAGTTTCTTTTACAGGGAAGTGTTTTCACATTTGGTTTTTAAATTACTGCAGAGCTTTCAGTTCTTGTAGCATACCTGTCTGTACAGGTGCTGCAGGTCAGGTTGTGATTTAAAAGTCACTCAGATTGGACCTGTTGCTCCGTGCTAGAGCTCACGTGAGAGACGGAGGTCTCGGTCAGTGCGTGGTGAAAACAACAAAGCAACACTCACTGCTTTCTTTGTCTTCTTAGGCTCACTGGATTTAACTTCTGCCAGAAAACGTTCCCAGCTTCTGTCAGGAAATCCCACTGTATCCAGTAAAAGTGTAAGTAAAGGGATGCTAAGTCATAGTAAAACTTCAGCACTATTAAATTCTTAAATTATGTTTTGTTAACAACATATTTTATTTAGGTACTTTATATGAAGAGGTGTTTTGTTTTTCATTTGTTCGTTTTATTTTTATCACATTTTTATCTGTTTATTTTGTGTAGATATAGGTATGTGGACATGTATAAGTCATTTTTGTGTGTGGAAGTCAGAGAACAAATTTCAAGAGTTTATTCTCTCTTATCATGTGAGTCCCAGTAATCAAATTTGAGTCGTTAGGCTTGGCAGCAAGCGCCTTCCTCTGTTGAGCCAGCTTTCCAGCTCAAGACATTTTTTTTTTTGGATTTATTTATTTATTTATTTATTTATTTATTTATTTATTTATTTATTTATTTATTTTGAGGCAGGATTTCACTCTACCTTTGGAGCCTGTCCTGGAACTAGCTCTTGTAGACCAGGCTGGCCTTGAACTCACAGAGATCCACCTGCCTCTGCCTCCCGAGTGCTGTGCCTCCACTGCCACTGCCCAGCTTCCAGACATGCTTTTTGGACTGTATTTGAAGAGTAGAACATTAAATATATCTATTGTGATGCTAGTCTTATTGGTGCTTAGAAAATTAACACCTGTCAGGGTCTCTCTGTGGCTTTGGAGCCTGTCCTGGCACTAGCTCTGTAGACCAGGCTGGTCTCGAACTCACAGAGATCCGCCTGCCTCTGCCTCCCGAGTGCTGGGATTAAAGGCGTGTGCCACCATCGCCCGGCATTAAGTACTTTTTTAAATTAATTTTTTTTCCATTTTCCTGTGTGTGTTCATACGTGTGTGTAGGGGTCAAGGGTGTGTGTACATGTTATGGCTCGAGGTTGCTGTCAGGAAGCATCCTCCTTTGTCCTTCCACCTTAGTTCATTGAGGCAGAGTCTCTCATCCCAGAGCTCGCTGTCCACCTGCTCCTGGGGATCCCCGCCTCAGCCTCTGGTTCTGGGGCTCCAGGCTCTGGTCTTCCTGCTCGTGTTAGTAGTTAGTGCTCTAACTGCTGCGCCACGTCCCAGCCCTGTTTGTGTCCTTCCCGTTTATGCCTTGGCAGAGCAGCATGGAATCGACCTAGTGCCTTAAGAGTTCGCGTCCCACTTGGCACCGACCAGTCTTAGAGACGCCTTCTAGGATTGGACCCATGAGCAGAAAGCTGTTGGACAGTAGATGGGACCTACTTAGCAGAGCTTCCTAAGACAGATGAGCTCAGTGCCTGAAAGCTGGGTTAGTCAGCAGTGTTGTACTGTTGAACAGCCATGCTGTCTGCTCCCTCTGACTCATCCTGGAGTCAGGTTATCACTCTGAGCCGAAGCAACTGAGATGTTCAGATGTGGATTTGAATCAGAATCCTGTGCCATTTCTGTTTGCTTATTTTTTTCATTCACTATTCTGACATCTCATTGCTTGGTCATTGAGAAATCTCCAAGTGGCTTCAGGCTTACGCATCCTGTAGTGTTGGAGTGGAGTGAACAGAACGTGCAGACCTGCCTCGCTAAATGGTGGTAGTCAGAAGGCTGCCACTGTGACTTCGTGAGTGGTGACTGTAAAGCTCATTTAGTCCTCTCTTTTCTGCCCAAAGGACTTTCCTAAAGACGCTGTAGTTCCGAGGCTGCCTTTGAATAAAACAGAAGCGAACAGCACAGGAAAAGGTAAATTAATATAGTTGACTTTTACAACTGAATTAAAATATATTGACAGACTTTTGTTTTGTCGATTTTGAATGCGTAGTTCTGTGACATTAAGCACATCCATGTTTGTTCGACCGTCACCATCTCTCACCTCTGGAACTTTCTCCTCTCCCCAGCTGAGCTCTGTGTCCCTGAACTCCTCACATTTGCCTCTGAATTTGACCCCTCACGGACCTCATAGAAGTGGCATCGTACAGTCTTTAACCTTTGTGCCTGGCTTACTTGAGTTTGCACAGTGTGTTTACGCTTATCCATATTGTAGTTCGTGTCAGCATTTTCTTTGTAAGGATAGATTGGGTTTATTTTTTAAATTTAACCTAATGTATTTATTTTGTGTATTTGGGTCTTTTGCCTGCCTGTTTGTTTGTCTGTATACAATACTTATGCAGTGCCCAAAAGACCAAAAGAGGGGGTCAGAGTACCTGGGACTGAAGTTATAGAAGGTTGTGAGTCACCGTGTAGGTGCTGGGAATTGAACTCAGGTTCTCTGTAAGAGCAGCCAGTGCTCATAATTGCTGAACCATCTTTCCAGCCCAGAATTGGCTTATTTCTTTATTTTGTGTGAGGCACCGAATCCAGTGCCTCATGCACACTGGGAAAATCTACTTCTGTCTATATCCTGAGCTCCTGCTATTTTAATTTTAGTTTTTCTTTTCAAATTAGCTTACTAATTAAAATCTAAAATCCTTTAAAGGATTTGCACAGAAGTCTATTTTGCTATTTTGAACTCATTGCAAAGGTTTGGTATGGGATATTTATTTTTTGTTCTGTTTTTGAGACTGTGTCTTACTCTATAGCCCTGGCTAGCTTGGAACTCCCTATGTAGACTAGGCTGGCTTTGAATTTACAGATTCTGTTGAATAAAACTAATTTTTTATTTGCAAGTGGTTATCAGTCAAAGATAGCTTCTGAATTAGGCACAGGAGCGTGTGTCCACTCGTCCTCTCAGTACGGGGGGATCTGGCTGCTTCTCTGGCTTCTGAGTGCTGGAATTAAGGGAGGATGCCATGTAGAACTGTATGTAGGATACTTATGCATTCTGAATTCAAACTTCAAGTCATCTGTGATATGGTAGTAGATAAAAACATGCTTTGACAAGTTTGTTGTTTAGTTTTTTATTTGTGCTTTTGTCTCTCTGTGGGGGTGAGTACAGACACTCTCGTGCTCACAGAGTTCAACCTGTGTCTTAGACATACGTTATCCTTCTTATTTTCTCTTTACTTTTGAGGTTAGATCTCAATTTTTGAGATTATACTATATCTTTATCTTTCCCTCTGTCCTCCCTGCAACTCTCTCAGCTATCCTCCTTGCTCTCTTGCAGACAGAGGACAGCCTAAGAGTCAGTTCTTGTGCTGTGGGTGGTCCCATATATAGAAGTTGGGTCATGAGGTTTGTGCAGCAAGCATTTTACCCACTGAGCCATCCTGCTAGTCTTGAAAATTTTTACTTATTGACAAATTTTAAAGCAATTTGTTTTATTCTAAGTGGTATTTCCTTTAGAGTTAGAACAAATTCTGCTTTTGTCTCTGCTCATTTTTATTTTTATATATTTTCTAGTATTTAGGATCATGACTGTTACATTTTTGCTTAGTTATTTAATCTGTTCCTTACCTTTCTTGATAAATCCAGGACTGGAGAGATGACTCAGTGGTTGTGAGCATTGGCTGTTCTTCCAAAGGCCCTGGGTTTAATTCTCAGGGCCCACATGGCAGTTCACAACTGTCTGTAACTCCAGTTCAATAGATCCAACACTCTCACACAGATATACATGTAGTCAAAATACCAATACACATACAATAAAAATAAATCATTAAAATTGATAAATTCTATTACTAAATCCCTAAACATTTCTTTTACTTGGAAATGTTTTTTCTTTTTGTATATATGTGTGCATGCATACATGTTCGTGTGTACTTGTGTAGGGTCTTGTGTTTGTCTTTGCATGACTAGAGGCCAGAGTTGATGTCAAGTATCTGGCTCACTCTCTCCCTGTAATCTGTTAAGACGTGGTCTCTTATGATCCTGGAATTCACTAATTCAGCTCACCTGGCATTCTTTCTCTGTGCACGGGGATTAAAACACTGGAGTTTTTTTTATGTTGGTACTAGAGTTGAGATTCAGGTCCTCACACTTGTATAATGAGCAGGTTACCAATAGAGCTATCTCATCAGCCTTTTAATTTTTGTTTTGTTTTAGAGACAGGTTTTGCTGCATAGCCCTGGCTGGCCTAGAACTTGCTATGGTAGATAGGCTAGCCTCAGACTTGGGGAATTTCATGCCTCTGCATTCTGAGAGTGCTAGACGTGAGCAGCAAATTGCATTTCTTTCTTCTTTCCTTCTTTCCTTTCGTTCTTTCTTTTTCTTTTTGTTTTGTTGTTGTTATTGTTTTGTTTTTTGTTTTTTGAGACAGGGTTTCTCTTTGTAACAGCCCTGGCTGTCCTGGTACTAGCTCTTATAGACCAGGCTGGCACCAAACTCACAGGGATCTTCCTGCCTCTGCCTCCCGAGTAGTGGTATTAAAGGTGTGTGCCACCACTGCCCGGCTCTTTCTTTTTTAGAAGAGTACCAGGGATCGAACCTATGACCTCATACATACTAAGCAAGTGTTCTGCCACTGAACTTACATCCTTAGCCCTCAATCTTGGCTTTTTTTTTTTTTCCAGAATCTGAAATAAATCTTTGTGTCTTGATTTTTCAGCCAATGACATCTTTATTTCGCAGTACGCCATGGGACAGAAAGATGCTTTGAGAACTGCTCTAAAGCAAAAGTAAGTTTTGTTTACTGACACACTCGTAAGTCTGAAGGAAACTGCTTTAGCCTATGTTAAGAGATGAGAACACAGCAGTGTTTTAAGATTCACCTTAACGACGTCCAGGGGTAGGGATGTAGCTCACTTATCGGTGCAGCCCTTGCCAACATGCATGGGCTAGGAGTGCGAATGTAGCTGGATAACAGCGAATTCTAGTGCAGCTCCAACTCTGCCTTCTTTCTTGCTGCTCACTCTGATAATTTCAAAGCTCAACGTATCTAGTGATGGACGCAGACGCAGGCATGAGTGGCTATTGCTGGGATAGGAAAGAGCAGGGCATTCAGTGGATTATTGCGTCGAGCAGCTATGTAAACCATGCAGCAACTCAGGGAAAGGGAGAGATCGACAGGTGTACAAAGACAGGTGTGTTGAAAAGGCAGCGACCATGTTGTATCCGAAGAAGAAAGTAGTGAATTGGGTAGAAGGCTGAGAGTACAGAGCGGAAAGCTCGCAATTAGTTGTGGGCCTCGTGGTTTTGTGTCTTCAAGAAGAGCCTTGTGAGTCCACATAGACATTGTTTGCTGCGTAATAGCAATGTGTTGTAAAGTAGGGCAGCTAGAAGAATGGGGTTTATGAGGTGAGGGCCCAGGCTAATCTGAGGAAACTGAAGTACCATGAGGAAAGCTGTGGAAGTTGAACCCTTAATTAGCTCTCTTTGTCCTTCATCAAACCTTTGGCTTGAACTTGAGTTTCGTTACGTGAAATTAAGAAATAAGGATAGATGATCTTAAATAAGATCCCCCATCTCCCCATTCTATCTATGGCAGCTGTCATGTAATTATGATGAAATAATTGAGAAAACTTGGCGACTCAGTAGGGTCTGATAGGTCAGCAGATGGAGGACCTGGAGGAATTCACACGTTTGAGGTGCTCAGGGAACAACTGCTCTTAGTTGTGAAGCGGCATCAAAGAGCAGTAAGTACAAGAACACCGTGCTGTGCTCAGAAGGAAGCTGGGGAGGCCCAGTGCTGTTCGTGGGCATTCCTCCTGACACCACGTAGACTCACGTGGGATTTCTAGGTTCTGTCTGTGTCCTTTAACCACTCGCTGAGTCTAAACAGAGAGTGCAGTGGACCAACTTTAAAAGAGAAAAGAAGTCAGATGTATTTCTGGGATTGCATATCTGTCTGCTGTGTTCCTTTTCTGTGGTAAGGGATTGAATTCAAGGTGTTGCACATGCTAGGATCAGCTACTAAGACATGCCCGTCCTGCTGTACTCTTGTGATGCACACCACCTAATGGTGTGTTTGGTGGCCATTAAATCGGCTAGGTGACATTTATTGACGAATCTAGAATTTAGAAACTTTTATAGAGCATGACGACTACAGCGAATATTAGCTACTGAGAAAGTGTTCACCCCATAGAATAGGTAGTTATGTAAGGTAATGGATATATTGATTAGCTTGATAGTGCTATTTTTACACTGTATATATGTATCAAAAAATCACATTATATACTGCACATACATAATTTAAATTTGTCGATAGTACTTCAGTCAGTCTGTGAAAAATAGTAGTATGTATCATTAATGTTATAATTTTTTGCTTTTCTGGCCTTTTATTTTTGTTTTTGAGGTTGTATTTTAATTTAAACATTTCTCTCTTCCCTTCAAATCTCCCACATAACCCTCCTCATGCTTCTCCAAATTCATGGTCTCTTTTTTCATCAGTCGTTATTGTATGCAGCGTTGTATTTGCATATACACATAACTTCCCAGATAAAACCTGATGAGTCCATATGTTACTTGTAGTCTCTTTTCAGGGCTGACCACTTGGCACTGGTGAACCAGTTGGTGTGATCTTCCCAGGAAGAGCCACCTCTCCCGGCTTTACTCAGTTGACGGTGGTTCTTTGTGTAGGGCTGAGGCCCCTTGGGCTTTTCTGAATGCAATTTGGCATGTTCATTGGTCTCCTCCTTGTTCAGCTAATGTTTGGGTGATCATGTTGGTGAGACTTTATGGGTGTAGCTTTTGTTATTACTAGGAGACAGAATGTCACAGCAAAGTCTCCGACCCTCTGGCTCTTACAGTCTGTCTGCTCCCTCTTGCACAGTCTTCCCTGAGCTTTAGAGTTTTGTAGTTGTATCCATTAGGACTGACCCCACAACTCTGCATTTTTATTGGTTGTGGTTTTCTGTAGTGGTCTCCATCCATTGCAAAGGAAAGTTTCCTTGATGGAGGCGAATACTACACTTCTTTGTGGGTATAAGGACAAATGTCTGTTTATTCTTAGGGATCATACTGGTTTAGTAAATTATTGGTTGTAAATTCTCCTCCAGTAACCATGATCTCACTAGTACTGATTAGTTAGATTGATTTCTAGTACCAGACAGGATTCCCTTTTGTTAGCAAGTCCTAAGTCCTCTGAGAGAGCTAGGTTGCCAGCAGGATATGTGTGCACTGTGCACCTGTAAGGCTATCTTGCCATGCTGGTTGTTGATATGGATATGACAGGATATATGTGCACTGTGCACCTGTAAGGCTATCTTGCCATGCTGGTTGTCGATATGGATATGACAGGATATATGTGCACTGTGCACCTGTAAGGTTATCTTGCCGTGCTGGTTCTTGGTATGGTTATGGTGTCACAACTGCGCGGGACTGTTGGTCACCTCCCTCCTTTGGAAGCTACTGTGTCACCTCCTGGTACCATGAAAGTTAGACCTCAGGGAAGAGACATTAAGGTCAGCTTCATCTCAGGGCTTCTGATAAACATAGTGTCTTGAACAGTAGGGATTCTCCTTGCCCCATTCGGGGGCTAACCAAGGGTAAAAGCAATAGGCTGTGTGTCATGGAAATCTCTTAGATAGCATTGGTAATAGTGGCCAGCAACGGAAAAGATGGCTTCTCAGGTCTGGTGTTGTGTTTTTTTTTTTTTTTTTTTTCCCATGGTCTTTGGTTTTTAGAGGGAGTGTTGTTAGCCCAAATAAAGTTCATTAAAGCTATATATTATATTTGTACACTGAATTACCTGCATTACAGTTTTTTTTACGGCAGATAGTTAAAGTGTTATCCCTTGTGCCTTTTCAGCCATCCATATTGTTATTTCCCCCTCCCTCCTCCTCTGTATTCACCTCCCTCCTCCTCCCTACGGAGCCCCACCTTTTTGTTTCCCCATCCTTTACTCTCTCCTCCACCTGCTTCTGTGCTTCCCTTCCTCCCGCTCTCTAGGAACCCCTCCCCCCATTCCTCATACCAGATTATTTGTACTCTGCTTCCCTCTTACTCCATCCCTGCCTCTTCTGTACCCAACTTCCTTCTCTTCCCTAAGGGGTGGGCGCGGTCTCCCTTTCCCTGATAGGTTACTCTCCCCTGCCATTCCCCTCTCCTTTGCTTTCCAAACCACCTGTTGTAGCAGTGGTCCTATTTTATTTTCCTGGTTTTTGTAGTTACTACTGGCTATATATTCACAACTGAAGATTTAGGGCTAGGGGCCTCCAATTAGAGAGAATGTGCGACATTTGTCGTCTTTTGTTGCCTCACTATGATCTTTTCTTGTTCTATCCATTTACCTGCAAAGTTTATGAATTCACTCTGTTGACCAGGCTGGCCTTGAACTCATAGAGATCCACCTGTGTCTGCCTTCCAAGTGCCAGGATTAAGGGCCTATGACACCACTGCCTGACTTTGCAGGCCATTCTTATTTGAGCCACCACACTTTCCTAACTTGGGAGAAGTTTTCTTCTAGATTTTGTTGAAGTTCTGGTTTGGGTTGTTGATTTTTAGTTTCTTCTTTCTCATCTGTACTTGTAATTAGAAGGTTTGGTGTTTCTCAGAGTTCTACATTTCCTCTGTGTTGTTAAGTCGGAAGCATGGCCCCAATCCCTGACCTGGGAGTTATATTGCTCTGGACTTCAAATCCCAGGATGCCAGGTCCTGGCCCCCCAGGACTCCCACAGGGTATTTAAGTGGCCTCCTAGAGGAGAAACACGTGGTCTGCATGGGCTCCCTGAGAGCTTTATTCTTAATAAAACGATGAGCACTTTGATTTGGTTTGATTTGACGTAATTGGATTTCTTGCACCAACAGAGCTGCTCTTATTCCTAACATGTGTGTGTGTGTGCTTTGTTTTTTGTTTTTTTTTTTTTTCAGGACAGAGTGTCTTCTGTATAACAGTTCTGACTGTTCTAGAACTCATTTTGTAGACCAGAATGACCTCGAACTCACAGAGATCCACCTGTCCCTGCCTCCCGAGTGCTGGGATTAAAGGCATGCGCCATCACTGCCCGGCTAAACTCCTTGAATGTCTTGATGCAGTTTATGATTGCTCTTGTAAATTCAGTGTCCTGCTGTTGTCTAGGTCATTCGCGTTGGCAAGCCTTTTTATAGGACTGGTAGGTTTGGGAGAGAACTGACTTGGTATTTCATATTGTTGGTATTCTTTCAACGAGATCTGGGCATGTGGGCTTTCTTTAAGTTCTTTTTAAATTTGCTATGGATGGATCAGGGTGGGAGAGAAGAGAGAATGTGGGAATGGGTTGGAAGTGACTTGGGTGGAATACAGTACAGTGGGCAGAGGGGACTGGGTTGCCTAAGATGTTTCCTGTTCTAAGACGGGAGTGTGGGGGTCTGAGTGGAAAGGTTGGAGATGACATGAAGTCTGTAGCCAGGTGTTTCTGTGTCCGGCGCAGATGGTTGTGAGCCCCCATGTGGTGGTGCTAGGAGTTGAAACTGGGTCTTTGGAAGAACTGTGGAGGCTACTCACTGGTCCTTGATTTAAAAAAAGAAATCAAGAAAATGGAGCTGGAGAGATGGCTCGGTGGCTAAGAATGCTTGCTGCACTTGCAGAAGACTGAGTTTGGTTCATACCCACATCAGGCAACTCAATCTTCCACAGTGCAAGTTCCAGGGGCGTTTGATGGCTCCGGCTTTCAGAGGCCCTTGACTCACATGTACATACACATCTTCTCCAACAGACACTGCACCTGACTGCAAATAAACATTTAAAAGAAAAATCATGAACCTACTTTTGGGAGATTACCAGGCTATGACAAGTCAGCATTTCTTCAAATGACTCAATGTAGGTTCCTGAAAAACTTCTGTTTCTTTGTATTTAAAGAGCTCAGAGCATGCCTGTTTTTAAAGAGGTGAAAGTACATCTTTTAGAAGACTCGAATACAGAAAAGAATACTGTTGCTCAGGAGACTGAAACTTCACCCAATAGGATTGATTCCGCTACAACTGTGGCTGCGGCAACAGCTGCTGCCATTGCCACAGCAGCTCCTTTGATAAAGGTACTCCCCGCCCCCCCCCCCCCATCCCTGGACACCAAGATACACGGTTGTTTGTTCAGAATTGACTCAGATGGTTGTATCTGACGGTAGACTTAGGGACATTCTAGTTGGTCCCACTTTGAAAGACTGTTGTATTTGTGGTTATGAATTATTTCTCAATCTGTGAAAATTACCTCCTTGTGAATGTGTTGGCTTCAGAAACCAAGCCTTTTTGTTGTAGCACTGAAAGTCCGCTTTCTGGGTGCTCCTTCTCTGAGAATCAAGCCTAGGGCCCTTATGCAATGATAGGCAATTGTTGTCCACTGAGCTGTACTAATAGACCTGTTGTCCTGAATGAACCATAGAATTATATATGATCTCATCATATCATATGTGACAAGCCTGTCAGTTTGTAATGGGGAAATGAAATAGGTCAAGATAGGTATAACATTTTAGAGCTAATGGACAACAGAGTCAAGACTCAGGTTCAAAGCTGTTGGCCTACCCCAGCCTTATATTAGAGAACTATTGAAAGCTATTCTGGTGTTTGTTAGTTTGTTTTAGACAGTTTTGTGTATCCCAGGCTGATCTTTGCTTTGCCATGTCTGATCTCCTCCACCCTTCAAGTTCTGGCATTACAGATGTGCACCATCACACCTGGTGTATACAGTGCTAGTGATGGAACCAAAGCTTCAGGCATGTTAGGCAAGCACAGTCGCTGAGTTGCATCCCTACATTGTTTTTTGAGACAGGATCTTCCTATCTGGACTTGAACTTGAGATCCTTCTGTGATCATAGGACATGCATTGCACAGCTTGGGTCTGGAAACCTGGTTTAAGGACAGGCACATAGACAGACAGAAAAGCTGAGGGTCAGGTGGGGTGTGTGCATTGTGGGACCTCAGCATGTCAACTCTACACAGCACAGGAGGAGGGGTTAGCTCGTCTCAGTAGCGGGTATTTGTAGGACCGCAGTTTCAGACTGTGAACATCGGGAGGAGGACACCACATTTGCTAGTCTTTTGTTTTTCAAGATAGGGTTTCTCTACAAAGCTCTGGTTGTTTTGTAACTTACTCTGTAGACCAGGCTGCTTCATTTTTGCCTTTTAATTTTGTGACTCTAAAAACAAAGATCACGAGAAGTTCTGAGTTAAGGCTCAGGTTTAACACTGTCTCGGTACAATTACTGTAGATAACCTTTTCAGGACTTGAACACATCTCTTAGGTCTTTCTATAATGAGAAACTCTATTGATACTTTTGTTTTAGGTACAGAGTGACTTGGAAGCAAAGGTTAATTCTGTTGCAGAATTACTTAATAAGTTACAGGAGACCGATAAACAATTACAGCGTGTGGCAGAGCACCAAACAAGCATTCAGAATAAGCAAGAAAAATTACATTGTCATGATCATGAGAAGCAACTGAATGTGTTTATGGAGCAGCACATCAGACACCTTGAAAAATTACAGCAACAACAAATAGATATTCAGGTATCTATGATGAAGCCAGTGCATGTTCCACAATCCTTTAGTTCTTCCATCTCTAAGTTAGTATCAACTGATAGTTGTAATAGCTGACTAGGTCATGACAGTCTAATTTCTTAAATCATGGGTTGCTTGCTCATCCGTCTTTACTGCATGTGGATGCTTCGTGTGTTCTAGGTTGTTTGTCATTGGTGCTGCGAGACTTCTCCTTATAGTTGGCTTTTCTTCCTTTTGCAGTATCGGATGTATGTATTTATGTGTTCGTGTGGAAGCCAGAGGTCAACGTTGATGTCTTCTTAGTCACCCTCTGCCTTCTTTTTTGAGACAGTCTCAAATCCCGAGCTCCCCCATTTGGTTGGAGCGGATGGTCAGCAAGCTCCCGGGGTGCCCCTGTCTGCGCCCTTCCCTCCCGGCACTGAGTCTGCAGCCCTGACCACTGTGCCCAGCCCTTCACATGGGGCTAGGACCCTGAACTCAGGTCCTCGTGCTTGCAAGGCAAACCCTTTGCCCACTGAGCCATCTCCCCAGCCCAGTAGCCTTATTTTCAAGGCAGTGATTGTTTACAGCAGCAGTTCCTAGCTTGCGAGTGTGCATTGGAGTCACTTGGAGAACTTGATAAAAATCACAGCTATTTGGACATCTGGGGATTCTGGGAGAGCAGATCTGTGGTGCTGCTTGGGGCTTGTTGAAAGCTTCCTCATGGTTCTGATGCTCCCGACAACGAAACTAACTACTGTGTGTATTTGTTTTTGAATTTAATTTATTAAAAGAATAAATATCTCAATGCCTTTTGAATATGTAAAAAAAGGTATTGTAAAAAAAAGAACTATCTTTATAAATAGCTATTATTTATTTTGGTTCCAAGTTTTAGAACACTACTCTCAAAACATTTTTAAAACAGGAATTTATAACCATTGTACATTTACATTTCCTTTTATATGTTCATTTATGTGTTGCATGTGTGTATTCATGTTTGTATGTGTGAGGGCACATGTGTGGGTTTATGTGCATGTAGGTGTGTGAGTGTGCGTGCATGTGTGTGTGCATGTTCATGTGGGTGTACTTGTGTGGGGGTGTATGTGCATGTGAGTATGTGAGTGTGCGTGCCTGTGTACATGTGCGGTTGTGTGTGCATGCGCAGAGGTTGATACTGGGGATGATCCTCAGTCTTCCTCCTGATCCTTTAAGGCGTGGTCTCACAAATGAAACTCGGAGCTCATTGATATAACTGGTCTTTTTAGCCACGCTGTTCTGGGGACCTCTTGTTTCTGCCTTTTAGGTGGTAATCCAAACACTTGTCCTCATGCGTGTAGGGAAGCGCTAACCACGGAACCATCTCCCCAGCCTTACATTTCTTTTTAATTGCACAATTTTCAAGTTTTAATAATTATATTAAAATGTAACACTCGGAAGAATGTACAGAAGTAAGTTTATTCTATTAATATATTGTCACAAAGTACACACTTAAATGCTTCTGTTTTGAGGATTTTTATTTGTTTCTATATTCCCATTATTCAAGACTTAGCCAGCCTGCTTCCCCGCGTGTGGACTGAGTGTGTAGTACATTGGCTGCTGGGCGCCGGGTGACTCAGCCTGCTGGTCCCTTTTCTGTGAACTGCTTTACCTCTCTGCACCTCGACCTTTTTGCTTAAAAACAGTTTTTCCCTCTCATCAAAAAAGAAAAAGGCATTCATTTTTTGTTGTTGTTTTTTCTGATTTTTTAAGACAGTCTCAACTATATAGTACTGTCTGGCCTTGAACGTCCTCTGTCTGTCTCCGTAGCTTGCAATTCTAGATAAAGTTGAAGTCTTGATGGCCTATGAGGTACATAAACGCCTAATGAAGCTAAGTAATTGAGGCTATCCCCATCTGCTCTATTTAGAGGGATCTCAGTACACTTTTATGAGTTCTATAAAACTGAATAATTTAGTATTTTAATACTAAGAAACTTTCTTCTGAAATCAGCTTTATTTGTTAAAATATACATTTCACATATATCTTAAAGTTTATTTTTATTTCTAATGTTTTAGTGTTATGCCTGCACATATGTAAGTGTACCACATTTTCATTGTATATTAAATATAATCAATTTTCAATTCTAATAAATTTCAATCTATCTTGTCACTTGATATCATCAAATTATATGTAACATAATTTGAGATCAATAAAACAATTGTCTTTCTTCTAGACCCAGTTTATTGGCGCTGCACTCAGGGCTAATAGTCAACCTGTTGGCACACCCCCTTCCAGAGCAGTGGAAAAGCCCTCTGGGAAGCCAGGCCAGCCTCATCCTGGGAGCAGTGCTTCTTCACAGAACACATTTGTCTGTAAACAAGGTGAAATACTTGTTTCTTGTGACTAAAATGTGCCAGCTGTGAATGTTCGTCATTTGTAGAAGGTGAAAATTTACTAATAAAGTGGTAGGACACTTTCTTTGGTATAACTTATTTTTGGAAGTCTTGGTTTTATATCTTTTTTTGACTCAAAGAAATTTGAACTTATTTCAAAGGTTGTTTAAATTATGAATCATAATACTTCCTTATTTATGGTTCTAATTGATCACTGGAAAAATCATCAGATTTTTAGAAAATTAGAAAAAAATATCTACTTATTTCTGGGTGGTGGTGATGTATGTCTTTAATCCCAGCACTCAGGAGGCAGACGCAGGCGGATCTCTGGGAGTTCAAGGCCAGCCTGGTCTACAGAGTGAGCACCAGGACAGCCAGAGCTGTTACACAGAGAAGCCCTGTCAAAAAACAAACAACCCCCCCCCCCCAAAATAGATAAATAATAGAAAAAAATCACTTATTTAGAATCTGGAGTGCTTGTAATAATTCTCTCGTCCTCTGAGAAGCTGTGTATTTACTGATTTTCTTGATTTTGTCAGATGAGCACAGTTAAACACTGTGGACCCTTACCCACTCTGGTGGTGGGCAGTTAGGTGGTTCTCTAAGTGATCTTGTTCTTGAATCAGGGTTTAATATTGTAGCGCGGACTGGCTTGAGTTGGTGGTGCTCCTCCTGCCTGAGCCTCACAAGTGCTGGCACCACTGGAGTGTGCCAGCATGCTGGGGTAGCATTTTCTTTCTTAATCTTACTTCTTTAGGGTAAATTCCTAAGAGTGAGATTATTAGGTCAAAAGATATTGCCAGATACTTTTTTAGTTTTTATTGCCATTGAAAGTGTCTATTGGGGCCAGAGCTATGGCTAGGTGATTAAGAGCACTGGCCACTCTTAGAAGACTCAGGTTCATTTCAGAGCAATGATGTGGGTGCTTGTAACTGTTCCAGTTCCAGGGATCCAGTGCCCTCTTCTGGTATCCACAGGTATTGCAAGCTTGTGATGCACAGCCATACATTATCCCAAACATCAATACACATTAAGAAAAAGATTACACACACACACACACACACACCACCTCCTGCTCTTGCAGAGGACCAAGTTCAACTCCCAGCACCCACATGGTGGCTCACATCTATTCCTAGCTTCAGTACTAGGAGACCCGCTGCTCTTTTCTGGCCCTTACAGGTACCAGGCCACACACACAGTGTACTTACAGGCTAAACACTCATACACAAATAGGATAAGTATTTTTTTGAAAAATGTCTAACGATGCCATTTTCACCACAGCTTTGACAATACTCATGTATATTATTACACCAGTTCTTAATTTACTAGCTTTATCTATAAAACATTTATAGTTTTCATTTACTTGATTTCTAGTAAGGATGAAGTTTTTCTTTCTTTCGTTGAGACAGGGTCTCTCAGTGTAGTCTTCCTGACTGTCCTGGAGTCTGCTATGTAAACAAGGCTGACCTTGAGTTTAGAGAGGTCCGCTACTTCAGAGTGCTGGCAGTAAAGGCAGCACCACTGTGCCCAGCTCTACCCTTTTTGAAACGGGCTTTCTCATGACCTGCCACTTGAAAAGAAGGGTGGCATGATTGTTTTGGGGCTCCAGGGGTCCCATCATTTCTGCCTCCCAAGCACATGCCACCACACCTTTTTTATTTGCTTGTTTTTTTTTTTTTTTTTTTTTTTTTTTTTTTTTTTTTGGGTTAGGGTTTCTCTGTGGCTTTGGAGCCTGTCCTGGAACTAGCTCTGTAGACCAGGCTGGTCTCAAACTCACAGAGATCAGCCTGCCTCTGCCTCCTGAGTGCTGGGATTGAAGGCGTGCGCCACCACCACCCGGCTCACCACACCTTTTTTAAATATGGGTTCTGGAGACTGAATTCAGGTCACCATGCTTGTAAGGCAAGTACCGTATCAGTTGTGTTCAAAAAGTTATTTTTTTAATTAATTGAAATTTCTGGAATAGTGTCTTACTGTGTATCCCTGGCTATCCAGAACTCTTTACATAGAACAGGCTGGTCTCAAACTCTGCAATCAGATAAAAATGGTTTTTGAAGCTAATTTATCTTTATTATTGTTATCATTACTTTTGTATATAAGTATCTGTGGTCTAAGGTGTTGAACCTAGGGTCTCATGGATGGTAGGAAGCACTCTATCACCAGAGACACCACAAGTCTTTGTTCATTATTTCCTCCTTTTCTGTTAAAGTGCCTTTAAGAGAAGTCGAAGATACAGATTTTGACAGACAGAAATCTCCTTTAGAGACACCAGCACCGCGCAGGTTTGCTCCTGTGCCTGTTTCAAGAGATGGAAAAATATCAAAGAGGGAAAACCCTGTAGAAGAAAAAGAAAATATGGAAATGTCAAGTCCTAAAGGTAGGACCCCAATCAGGATGCGTGGCCGCCTTGACGTTAGTCATTTTTCTTAATCCTGCGACCAAATCCCTGACACAGAGCCACTTAAGGAAGGCAATGTTTGCTTTAGCTCATGGTTGAGAAGGGGTGCATTTCGTCATGGGAAAGCACAGTAGGAGGAGTAAGCAACGTGTGGTTGCTTAGATGGTGGTCAGGTTGACTCCATAGTCAGAGAGCTGACAGTGCTGACCGCAGCCAGAAATGAGTCCAAGCTGTGAAACCTCAGCCTGTCCCCAGTGCCGTATTCCTTCCAGCTAGGCTTTGTCTTTTAAAGGCAGGGGTGGCGCACACCTGTAATCCTTGCACTCAGGAGGCAGAGACAGGGGATCTCTGAGTTCGAGGCCAGCCTCATCTGTGGAGCGAATTTCAGGACAGTCAGGGCTACACAGAGAAGGCTTGTCTTGAAAAAAAAAAAAAAAAACAAACCAAAACAAACAAAAATCTTACTCTCTGATAGAGGTAAGTTTTGTCTTTTTACTTATATTAATCCAATTTTTAAAATTCTAGCTTTTAATAAGATGAACATATTTTGTCTTATGTCTATATTGTTGTCTTGGTTTTATTTTCAGGTACAATAACTGAGTCCCGCAGGTTAGGTAATTTATAAAGGAAAGAGGTTTATTTAGCCACTATTCCAGAACTTTAAAAGTATGGCAGTGATCCTCTTGCAGTGATCCTCTTATGGGTCATGCTATGGTGGGGGGCAAGAGCAAGCTAGCCAGAGAAAGCTTTGTTTCATAACAGATTTCCTCCTTTGATGACCACTACTCCACTCATGAGCACAGACCCCATGTTTCAAATACCATTACTATGTAACCCTGAGGACTGAGTTTCCAACTCATAGAATTTAGGGAATGCATGCAGAAGAACCGCAGTGGGTACAGAGTGAGCTGAGCAGATAGCCCTCGTAAGGTCTTAGTTTAGGCTAGAGTGCTGGTACACACGAGGTGAAATACAAAGGAGAAATGAACTAATTTGGAAAATGACATTTTTTTTCTGTTTTAGGAAATGTAAGACTGTTGGAACAAATATTGAATAATAATGATTCTTTGACAAGAGAAAGTGCATCATCAGACATAACCTCACTAACTAGGTCAAAAGTGGGATGGAGTTCTGAGAAAGGAGACAGGTAAAGACAAGAGATTGGAACTAGTTGGACTAGAGAGCTTTATTCAGAATTCTGGATTTTCTTTAGGAATGTGTTTACATCACTGCTTTTTCAAGTATTTGATTTAGAAATGTAGGTTATTAATTTCTAACAAAGGCAGATTCAGGTAGTGTGATATGTACCCTTATTGTGATGTAGAGAGGAGAAAGTGGGTTGGGGGTGTAGAAGAAATGAAGGTAACTTTGAGAATAATGGCTCATAGAGAGTTCATTGTATTCTTTTCTCTGCTTGGGTATATTTGAAATTGTGCATGCAGCTTGCTTTGAGGCTTGAGGTTTAACTTAGTGACGGTAGAGGACTTGTTCAGAATGCATGAGTCCCTGGGGTTCGTCTCCTCCCCTGCAAAATAGTTTAAAAAGGTTAAGATAAGGTAAATCTAAACCGTAATCATTATATTAACTTTAACATGATAAAAACTGTAAGGAAAAACCTTGAAAGTCTGCAATCTGGATGATTTTATTTGGAAATATTGCATAGTTTTGTCTTATTTAATGTCTTTTTGTGTGGCTTGTTGCTGTGCACCTGTCGTGGTCTCAGTCCCTACAGCACTGCTCCTCCGTGAGCGTCTTCTTTTCTGTTGGATACCTTAGTGTACCGGTTTCATTTGTTTCCTTTGCTACTTTTGTTGTTACTTAGTGATTACCCTAGAGACTGTAATTGACACACTAATTTAAAACTACCTCATTCATCTTCATACCCACTTAATTTCTGCATAGTGAAAATTTCTTCCCTTCTACTGTGTGGTCAGAAACATTTATTTTTATGAAACCTGGTAACTGTACTTGGTTCAGCTTTTTTGTCTTTTGCCAGAAGAGGGCAGCAGATTCATTGGAGCTTAAGTTAAAGGCAGGCTTGGGCCACCTGATGTAGGTTCTTGGGGCCAAACCTGGATCCTCTGCAAAAGCAGCAAATACTCTTAACTGCTGGGGTAGTTCTCTCGTCCCTATACTTTTAAAACAGAAGAAAAGTTACAGAAATACAGATTTGTTTTTTTTTTTTAATATTTATTTATTATGTATACAATATTCGGTTTGTGTGTATGTCTGCAGGCCAGAAGAGGGCACCAGACCTCATTACAGATGGTTGTGAGCCACCATGTGGTTGCNCAGAAGAGGGCACCAGACCTCATTACAGATGGTTGTGAGCCACCATGTGGTTGCCAGGAATTGAACTCAGGACCTTTGGAAGAGCAGGCAGTACTCTTAACCACTGAGCCATCTCTCCAGCCCCTGTTTGTTTGTTTTTTGAGACAGTGTCTCACTATGTAACCCTGGCTGACCTAGAACTCTATGTAGACCAGACTGGCCTCAAACTCCTCAAACCAGGAACACTCTTGGTGAGGACCCCCTGCATAGTTCCAACCACTCTTCTTTTGCAACTGTGAAGATTCTCTCTTTGCTGTGGATTTTTGACAATTTGACTATAATGTGATTTTTATGATTTCTTTTTAAGTTAACTTATAGAGCAATGGGTGTCATTATGGCATTTTCATACATTTATGAAAATATCAGTATAGTTTGTTCTTAGCTATTCCCTTCCTCGGGACTTTTCTTTCCCTAATTCCTATGCCCCATGCCCTGTTTCCCTTAACTGGCTGCCCATCGTCCTCTGAATAGTCCTCCCTTGTGTTTTCATTATTCTATTACTGTCTCTTCCTTTGCCTGCACTTAGGTGTGGGAAGTCCTTCTGTTTATGTGTTGCTTTTATTGGTTAATGAATAAAAAAGCTGCTTTGGCCTGTGATAGGGGAGAGTAGAGGTAGGCAGGCAAGACTGGGGGAAAGGAGGTGGAGTCAGGGAGCTGCCATGGAGCTGCCAGAGGGGAAAGACGTGAGCTGCCAGCTGGAACCTTACCGGTAGTCCACAAGCCTCACGGTAAAATGTAAAATAATAGAAATGGGTTAACCAAAGATAGAAGAGCTAGCTAGCAATACGCTTAAGTGATTAGCTAAGCAGTGATTTAAGTTATATAGTTTCTGAATGATGATTTCTAGTCTGGGTAGCCGGGAACGAACAAGCGGCCTCCTAGGCCTCCTACTAACACTTAAGTTCTGTTCCTTCCTCTAATGTTTCCCTTTCTATTTACACACACACACACACTCTGCATTAGAGAGTTACATTAGTGGTTAAGAGCACTGGCTGTTCTCAGAGGACCTGAGTTCAGTTCCAAGCACCCACATGGTAGCTCATAGCTGCCTGTATGTAGCTCCTCCTGAGGCATCAGACACACCATGGTGCACAGGTATACATGCAGGCAGAAAGCCCATGTGTACAAAATGCTTACTGAGTTTATGACAGCTTAGGAATTTCTTCTTATCTTTTGTAGCATTGAAACTCTACATTCACAGAGATGTCCTTCCCCTGAAGAGCTAGGAACAGCTAAAGTAACCATGAGAAAGTATGATTATGATGTTCATGATCTTGGCCAGAGGAAGAAACAAACAAATGACATGCTCCAGGTAAAGTGGGAACAGTGTTAAAATCCATGGTTATAAGGTAAAAATTAGGAAGAGCCTGGGTTGTAGCTTAGTTAGGCAGAATGGTTGCCTGGCATGCGTGTATGACATCAGGCCTGTTGGCACACACTTGCAATCCCAGCACTGTGGAGGTAGATGCAGGAGAATCAGAAGTTCAAGGTCATCCTTTTGTTAGAAGCTAGCTTGTGCTACATCAGATTCTGCCTCAAAAACAGATGTGTACTATAGTGTGTATGAATATATACCTAGTAAAATGGAATAAAAAAGTCAGTAGACCAGAAATCAGAAGGAAGGGTGAAAATAAAGTACTAGAAACATGACAGTCAGATCTGTTCCCTTTACAAAAAAAAAAAAAAAAATCAGCAGTCTCTACTAAATGATTTCTTCCTAGCACTCTGGCCAGACCTGTGCCACTGACGTGTCCCACTTTCCGACATCTTTTTTTCTTTTTGAGGCCACTTTAGTATATAGCCCTTGAAGACCTAGGAGTTTCTCTTAAACCAAATTGGCTTCAAACTTAGTGATCCTCCTCTTTTGCCCCCTGAGTGCAGGGATCACAGCAGTGTGCCGCCATACCTGTCCTTGCCTTTCTGGCTAATAGAGGAGTGAAAGGTCTGTCCAGTCCACAGTGTCTAGAGCAACTTACTCTTTATTTTGCCTTGCTTTCTTCACCAGTGGAGGTTTCATTGATGATCAGATGACCTAACACTGCTCTGGATGCCCTGTCTCTATTGCAGATAATATTTGTAATAATTTTTTTTAAAAAAACATTTATTTATTTATTATGTATACAATATTCTGTCTGTGTGTATGCCTGCAGGCCAGAAGAGGGCACCAGACACCATTAAAGATGGTTGTGAGCTACCATGTGGTTGCTGGGAATTGAACTCAGGACCTTTGGAAGAGCAGGCAATGCTCTTAACCTCTGAGCCATCTCTCCAGCCCCAGTAATAATTTTTAAGTGGAAAACAAACCAAAGAATGGCAGGTATTCAGTAACTTTTCATTTGGACAAACTGAGCCCTAGTTAGACTGTATTGATTCTAGTGTATGGTTGCAGCAGTGAACGAGCTAGCTCTTCTTTGCATTACACACTTACTTTTGTGTATTGTATGTATGTATGTGGCGGGGGCATATATGCTAAATGTATGTGAGTGCTCAAAGAAGCCAAAAGAGTGTGTCCTCCTGGCACTGAGCCACCCAATGTGAGTGCCGGGAAATGCACTCCTGTCCTCTGGAAGAGCGGTGTGCACTCATGACTGTCGCCATTTCCCAACCTTTCTTTTTTACAGTAAAATCAATGTAAGTTTAATGTACTAAATTTTCTGCCTTTTATTTTTTAAAGGTAAAACAGTCTCCACTTATCTTGAGGTTTTCAGATCTTCCACAGAATTCTGCTAAGCTTCAGACAACCAGTACCAGATCTGTCTTGAAAGATGCTGAGAAGATTTTAAAAGGAGTACAGAACAATAAAAAAGTGCTAGAAGAAAACCTGGAAGCTATTATCCGTGCAAAGGATGGAGCTGCTGTGTATTCCTTTATCAGTGCTTTCTCTGCCAATAGGTGAGACAGGATGTGCGCATCACAGCTCTATTTACAAAACTGCCAGATCTGCGTACCAACCTTCCTTCTTAAAGATTCATTTATGTGTAGGAGTGTTTCACCTGCATGTATGTGCATGCACCATGTGTGTGCCCAGTGCCCGTAGAGTTCAGAAGAGGGGTCCACTGGAGCTGGGAACTGAACCTGAGTGCTCTCACCTGCTGAACTGTCTCTCCAGCCCCACAGCCCCACAGCCTCACTTTCTGAATTTCTTTCCCAAGCACTCACTTAGCTACTGTGTTTTCATGTTTGGGAAAGGCCCCTAACGCCTCTGAAGATGTGGGTCCTGCTGTGGATAGACATGGAGGTGCCGTGTTTTCCCGGCTGTGATTTTCCATTTCCGCTTTCGCTCTGTCTGTTATTGCTTTCCTTGAGTTCTTCATAGACATTTCCTTCTAACATTTAAGGAAGGCTAATACCGTCACTGATTGTTTTCTCAGGAAGAGTATTGGGCTACAGGGTAGCTTTAAAACTTGACTAGACTCATCCGATCCTGGTCCAGTCATCAATATATTAAGACTGATTTAAGAATATTTCTGTTTTCATTTGTAGAGAGATCTCAGAGAAAATTAGGATCAGAAAGAAAGTAGATGACTGGATTAAAATCATTTCAGCAGAAATCCAGGTATGTCATGGAAAAAAGTGAAAATCAAGTCAGTTCTCTGAATATAGCATAAATTCCAGGTTATTGATGTATGTCCACTTCTTTTGTTCTTTTTTGCAATACTGAGACCTGAACCTAGATCCTGTCTCATGCTAGGCATGCACTGTACCATTGAGCCACATCCCTCAATCATTTTTTAAAGGAAAGATTTATTTTCATTCCTGTGTGTATGTGTTTGTGTCCATGTGGTTATATGACAAATGTGTGCAGGGCTCAGAGAGGCCAGAAGAAGGCATTGGGTGCCTTGGAGCTGGAGTAGCAGGTGATCATGCGCTGCCCAGTTTGGGTGCTAGGAACTGAACTCAGGTCCTTTAGAAGCCTATCAGCGGCTCTTAACCACTGAACCATCTCTCTAACCTCCACTTGGGTGAGATGGTGACTAAGTTTCCCAGGCTTGAACTCACAGGAGCCTGGAAAGGCCTTTAGCTTGAGATCCTTTTGTCTTAGCTTCCTCTATGAAGATAAGTCATGTACCACCAGGTCTGGCTTATGATTCTTTTGTTTGTTGTTATTTGGTTTTTTGAGAATTGATCTCACTATATATCTCTGGCTGTCCTCGTGCTCACTGTGTAAAACCCACCACTTCTGCCTCCTGGGGGCTGGGTTAAAGGTGTTGTCACCACCCCTGACCTGGCTTATACTCCTTCATTTCACTAACATTCTTTACCTTTGCTTATCAGTAAGTATAGAAGTATAGTATTATTTAGGAAACTCTTTTTTTTTGTTTTTTTTTTTTTTTGTTTTTTGAGGCAGGGTTTCTCTGTGGCTTTGGAGCCTGTCCTGAAACTAGCTCTTGTAGACCAGGCTGGCCTTGGACTCACAGAGATCCTCCTGCCTCTGCCTCCCAAGTGCTGGGATTAAAGGCGTGCGCCACCACCACTCGTCTAGGAAACTCTTTATTCTTATAAATTTTATTTGGCTCCTCTACGCCAAAATATTAGACAATAAATGAAATATGAGAAATTCGAAAGAAAAATTGACAAAAACAGAAAATGAAATTCTACTTGCAAAAGATGTTTCAAGACAGCAGATTGACTAGCATTGATGCACTAAGGTAAACATACCAAAGTTACTAAAGCACAGAAAAGTCAGTTCTAAGGGGAATCTTTCTCACACACATGAAGGACACAGCATGTCTTCAGACATAAAAAGTCTCCTAAGTTTAGTGTATTTGAAGTGTAGAACTAGACAAGGTAACCATTACTTTTATTTTGGAATGCAAGGCAATTGATGGTTTTCATCCAGTGTGCTTGCATGTTTACTCTTGGTGGTAACTAGGGCAGTAAAACCTTTGTTACTTGTAAACCACCCCTAAAATACACATACATGCATACATACAAATACATATGTAAACACACATACATATATGTATATACAAATATATGTATGTTTATTTAATTGTATAAACTCACCAGATAAAAAGATGAAGTGACCTCTGGCTGTATTCCAGTGAGCAGAATATGTTGCCATCATTGTTAATCCTATGTAAATGTTTATTTAAATCTTCAAATAATTTAAATTTATATATAGTCATCTTAGTTATATTATAAATCATGTGCCTAAGTTTGTTCTTCTAAAGTATTACCGTGATGTGATTCAAGCATCTGAAGGGTAAAAACTTTGCAATGCCTTCTTCCTGTGCTTCTGTTGCCTCCTCCCATGTCTCATAACTCGATAGCCTTTTAGTTTTACGATTGTTTTGTTTACTTTCGTTTTATGAGACAGATCTCTCTGTGTAGCCCAGGCTGGCCTCCAGCTAGATCGCTCCTGTCTTCTGGGGCAGGAGTTGCAGGCATGTACTGCTGTGCTTAGTTCTTTTTAGGTTTTGTTCGTTTTTCCAGAAAGTTACTTTTTATGTGTAAGTTATTATTCTTTATTTTTAAAGCATTTAGAATTTCTAAAAAATGTTTGTACAACAAATAAATTCCAGTAATTTTAGTGTGAAAGCATTACTATTTTCTTTGGCTTAAGTGATTTCAATTTTCTTTGCCGTAGGATGAACTTATGAGAAAAGATTATGAGCAAAAGAGATTTGATCCAAAGAATCAACGGAACAAGCAAGCTCTGAATATGAGTAGAGATATTAAAGCCAACACCCGAGACAAACCAGTGAACAAATCTGCAATTCCAAGAAGACATTGTCAAAAACAAATACAGGAGCAGTTTAGGGATGCATCCGGAAGGAGCCGGCCTGCCTCAGGTTCACAGAGAGAGAGGAAAGAAGTGAGCTCCTAATCTGAGTTTGTGTTTAGATGCCACATTGTTCCTGGTCATTTCCTTAGAGATAGAAGTAACGGCATGCATATGAAAATTTTTAAGCTCTGAAGAGCTGTACAAACCTAGAGCAGATTTGTACCATTGCCTACATAAGACTTTGGACCTGTAATGTGGAAGGCCACATAAAATCTGTCCTTTCTTCTATTTGTTTTTAAAAATAATTTATTTTTATTTTATGAGCATTCATTAATGTTTTGCCTGCACGTATGTCTGTGTGAGGGTGTCAGATCCCCTGGAATTGAAGTTACAGATAGCTGAGAACTCCCGTGTGGGTGCTGGAAATTGAACTGGTCCTCTGGACGAGCTTCCAATGTTCTTAACTACGGAGCCATCTCTCTAGCCCCATTGTTTTTTGCTTTTTTGCCTTTTGTTTCTTAAGAGACAGGGTCTTCTATGTTGCCCAGGCTGGGAAGACAGGCACACAGCGCCATGCCCAGCTGTGGAGCTCATACCTAGAATCATAGTACATAGCAGGTGTTTCTAGAGATTATTCTGCTGCCTTTACTAGTCAGATCCATGTCACGGAAAGGCATGTTCCATCTTCTTGTGTGTGCTCTATTTTAAACTTAAAAAAATCACTTGTAATACCTAATGAGTGCAAGACATGGTACTAGTTGCTTGGAGAGGTTTTCCTTACTGCTCTAGCTGGCCATTAATGTTTTTGTGCTAAGCATGGATTATTGAACAGAGAAATGCAATTAAATGCTTGGCTGTAATGCTTAATAAATGCTGCGTTTCTGTGGCGTTTTGAGATTTCTTTATGTATTTTATGTTATATGGGTGTTTTGCCTGCATGTATGTCTATATACCAGAAGAGGACTTCAGCTCCCATAGGACTACAGTCATAGATGGTTGTAAGTTACCAGGAGTTGAACCCAGGTCCTCTGGGAGAGCAGCCTGTGCGCTCTATCTCTCCAGTCCATTTCTGCGGCATTTTGATTATGGTTGAAAGTGGAGCTGGGAGTGTATAAAGTCATTTAAAGGCGGTTTAGTTTATTTAAACATAATAGCTATGTAAAATGTGTTTAACCGTTAGTACCTGAAAGTATACACAGTAATGTAAAACCTTTTATGTTTGCTAGGTGGAAGACATTGCTATTTTTATAGTAATGCTAACATTTTTTGCATTCGTAGGGACTCGTGAAGTCAACCACGGTATTACAAGATGAGGATTATATGTTACAAATATATGGGAAGCCAGTTTATCAGGGCCATCGCAGCACTCTTAAAAAGGGACCATATCTCAGATTCAGTTCTCCATCCCCTAAGGCCAAACCCCAGAGACCAAGAGTAATAGAGCTAGTAAAAGGTGAGGACGCTCATCTGTTGTGTTTACCGCATTGTTTACAGATTAAGCTTAATTCTTTTTTTTTTTTTAATATTTCTTATTGTTTATTTACTTTATTTTATGTGCACTGGTGTGAAGGTGTCAGATCCCCTGGAACTGGATCTTCAGACAGTTGTGAGCTGCCATGTGGGTGCTGGGAACTGAACCCGGGTCCTCTGGAAGAGCAGTCAGTGCTCTTAACCGCTGAGCCATTTCTCCAGCCCCAATAAGCTTAATTCTTAACATTGCTCTTTATTTGTTAGCTACGCACACAACTCAAGGTCCACCGTCCCGGAGGAGGGGAGGGAGAAACAGCAGAGCTCCAATCTGCTGCAGCACCTGCTGCTTCCTAGTGAAGCATGTGTGTGGGCACTTTGGTGGTTTTGTTACCAAAAACTCTTAGCCAACAAAGATCATTGATTTCTTACTGACTTTTAATTAAATAAGAACACTTTCATTTATTAATATGTGTTTTGACTCATGTCAGCCATTTCATTTGCATATTTAAATGTAACATAGTTAAATATTGACTCTGTTAATTTTGATTACATTTTGAAGTGTCTCTTCTTTCGTCTTAGACATTAGTAAGCTTTACCAACAGTGTAGTTAGTGGAGGTTAGCCCACTTCTAGAGTTGGAGCCGTGGCAGTTGCTCAGCTCTCTTCCCCTTTGTAAATGCTGCCTGAACAAATTGGTGATCCTACAGATACTATTTTTAAAGGATTGCAACTTACTATATTTACCCTAATATTTCTCTTAAATATTGGAATTTTATTGTTAAAATTATATTTGGAGTTTTGAAAGCCTTTCTAAAACAATAGCTTAAGGTTTTAAAAACACTTCAGATCCTCAGATAGCTTTTTTTTAAAAGAGGAAATAGGTGGAAATCTTTATTTTTATTTTATGTGAATTGGTATTTTACCAGCATGCATGTCTATGCCAAATCTCTGGAACTGAGATTACAGACAGTTGTAAGATGCCATGTGGGTTCTGGGAATTGAACTAAGGTCCTCTGGAAGTGCAGCCAGTGCTCTAAACCACCGAGCCATCTCTGCAGCCCCTTGAGTAGCTCTTTTCACTAAGCCCTTTAAGGTAAAAGTGAGTGACAGCTGTGGACGTAGTGCACATCCTTGGCTGTGTTACTTGCTGGTTTTCCTCTTTGACAGGGAAAAAGAAATTCAAATTCTCTAAAGAGACAGATAATAAAAAAAAAGTTTTTTTTCTGTTTATGTTTATGTGATTTTGTTTGTTTGTTGAGACCGGGTCCCTGTACAGCCCTGGCTGTCCTAAAACTCACTATGTAGGCTATTTGACTTTGAACTCATAGAGATCCACCTGCCTCTGATGTCCAAGTGCTAGGGTTAAAGGTGTGTTCCCTCAGATCTGACTTTTTTTTTTTAAGAATTATTATTTATGTTTGTGTTTGGTGTTCCCAGAAGCCAGAAGAGGGTGCCAGATCCCCTGGAACTGGAACTATTTCACAGTGGCTAGTTAATAGATACTTGTCATATTTTTAAATGTCTGCTACTGATGGTCGTTGTAGGCACTAAAGTCAAGTCGGCAAGAACACAGACTGACTTTTATGCAACAAAACCTATGAAAATGGATTCTAAACTGCCACATCCCATCACCACACTACCTCATGGTGACCAGCAATATCTGTTCAGCCCCAGCAGAGAAATGCCTACTGTTTCAGGGACCCTGGAAGGTCATCTAATCCCAATGGCAATTCTTTTAGGTAAGAAAAGACGAATTTGTGGCAGCTGAGAACGGGAAGGGACTCATTGCTGTTGTAATATGAGCAGAGGGGTTGCATCCCTGGCGGGGGCCACTGTGTTATAATAGGAGCAGCGGGGCTGCGTCCCCAGCACCCGGCTGCCCACATGGCTAGCTTATGCCCCAAAATAATTACATGGAAACTGTATTCTTTTAAACACTACCTGGCCCATTAGTTCCAGCTTCTTATTGGCTAGCTCTTACATATTGACCTAACCCATTTCTAATAATCTGTGTAGCCCATGAGCTGGCTTACCAGGAAAGATCTTAACCTGTGTCTGCCTGGAGTGGGAGAATGGCGACTCCCTGACTCAGCTTCTTTCTCCCAGCATTCTGTTCTGTTTACTCCGCCTATCTAAATTCTACCCTATCAGAGGCCAAGCAGTTTCTTTATTACTTAACCAATGAAACAACAGATAGAAAGATGACCCTCCTCCATCACGTTGCTTAGGATCAGTTGCAGGGGGCCACCTCCTTTCTTATGTCTGGGGAGAGCCTCAGCTGTAGCTTATGCAGCGACAGTAATCTCTTCAGCAATGACTTCTCGCCAGAATCTCTCTCCCAGGAAATATTCTCTGTGTGTGTTGCTGGTGTAGGTAATATGACTAACATGTCATTGGCCTGCATAATAATTCAAGAAGTCCAGTTTGTTTTAATATTGTGTTAGGAGAGATACTTTAAAGCATTTTTATATACTTTTGAGCCAGGTTATGATAAGTAAAAGCTAGGTGGTCATATATTCTAGGTGAATACTTGGTTATTTCCTTATATGAGGTCTTTATGAGTCATCCCTTTAAAAACTGGACAGATCTGCTGGTGTGACATCACATACCTTTACTCAGGAACAAAAGGCATGGAAACTGCACGTCTGTGGGTGCTGGGAACAGAATCCCCAGATACTCTGTAAGCCACAAGTGCTCTTAACCACTGAGCCATCTCTTCAACCCTAATTTCATTAAAAAAAAAAAAGATTTATATATTTTTGTGTGTTTTGTGTGTGCCTGTATGAGTTTATGTGCACCATGTATGTGCAGAGATGCCAGTGAAGGCCTGAGGGCACTCAGTCACCTGGAACTAGAAGTTGTAGTGTTTCAGTTTTTTTTTTTTAATAAATTTTTTAAGCTTTATTTATTTAGTATGTATACAGTATTCTTCCTGCATGTATGCCTGCAGGCCAGAAGAGGGCTCCAGATCTCACTACAGATGGCTGTGAACCACCATGTGGTTGCTGGGAATTGAACTCAGGTCTTCTTGAAGAGCAGGCAATGCTCTGAACTGATGAACCATCTCTCCAGCCCCAGTGTTTCAGGTTTTAAGTGAAGTCTTTGATCCATTTTGAAATTTATTTTGGTATAAGGTGAAAAAGATGAATTTGATTTCATTCTTCTTCAGATAGAAACACTTCTCTGCTAGCACCTTTGTTGAACTGGCTTTTTTTCAGTGTACAGTTTTGCCTCCTTTGTTAAAAATTAAGTGAGCATAGTGATTTTATTTCTGGTTTCTCTCTGTTCCATTGGTCTGCCTGTCAATTTTTATGCCAGGACCAGGCTGTCTGTGTCACTTTGGCTCTGTAGTATAATTTAAGATTGGGTATTGTGATATCGACACAGTGTTCTTATTTTATAAGATTGCTTTTGTAGTTACAAATACATTCTTGTATTGTCTTTTCTAAACTTGTGAAACATGGCACTAGACTTTGGTTAGATATTGCATTAAATCTGAAAATGAATTTTGGTAGTATTGCCATTTTCACAATATTAATTCTGCCAATCCAGGAGCATGGAATGTCTTTCTATCATCTGTATCTTCTGTAATTTCCTTTTAATATCTGAAAGCGTTTGTTGCAGAGGTCTTTTACTTCTTTGGTTAGATATATTCCTAAACGCATAAAGTTTTGGAGTTATTTTGAGTGATTTTTTTCTGATTTCTTCTCTGAGAGTACACTGTAATTATAAATGAGGCCTACATTTTATTTTTTGAGACAGGGTCTCACACTAGCCCATGCTGACTTTGAATTCATTATGTAGTCTAGGCTGGCCTCAAACTTATAGTAATCCTCCTGCCTTAGACATCTAGGAGCTGGGATTGTGGGCATTTGCTGTGCACAGTCTTGGGGTCTTGGACCTGACTGGGTCAGCAAGAGAATGAAGGCAAGATAAACACACAGATGGCATACAGAAAAACTGGGGTCCAGTGAACTGGACTCTCTGGCGAAGAAACCTTTACTCCTGGGAAGCTCACTGTTCATACAGTTGAACTGAGAGCCTGGAATTATTGAATACAGCTGAACAAGATGCCTACAGATAAACAAGGAAACAGGGTTAGTTAATCTTGATTGATTGGTTCAGTCTCCAGGGGAGGAAATACGCAGGGGTCATGAGAGGAGAGGGTTACGGTAGACATTTTCTCCACACACTGTCTATATTTGTTTGACTGAGGAGGGCAGTCTTGCCATACCCTGAGCCTAGCCAGGGCAAGGGTTGCCATTTTCCAGTGGTGCTGAGGCTTTGAGGTCCTTGAAATGCCTGTGCCCATGGCCCATGTCTGTAGCGGCTGCTGTGCCTGGCTCCTTCAGTTTTACTTTGAAGTGTAAAAAACAAGCAGGTTTTCTGACATGAAAGTTGGCAGTATGGAGCGGGAATGACATACAGTGGCTAGGAGTTCAGCACTGCTGACAGCTGCTCACAGGCTGGCATGGGGAGCATGTGTAGACCGTGGTGATGGAGAGATGCTTAGGAGACCGCCTTTCCCTTTGTGTGCAAGAGCAGTCATGAAGAGCCAGACATTTTGATTTTTTCCTTTTGTTAGAAATAGTTCTTATTCTCTACCCTAAATTTCACAGGACAAACCCAGAGTAATAGTGATTCTGCACCGCCTGCTGGAGTACTGATAAACAAGCCACATCCTGTAACTGTGACTACTTCCATTCCTCCCTCATCTCGAAAACTAGAAGCCGGAGTCAAGAAACCTAATGTAGCAGTTGTGGAAATGAAATCAGAGAAGAAGGAGCCCCCTCAGCTCTCTGTACAGGTATGCCAGGGTGCGCGAGCAGACACTGTCACAGCCACAGGAACCCATGTCAGCCATTAATACCTAAAACTGATTACATAATTTTCTGAAGACTTCGCTTTCATTAAGGTTCCTTTATTACTGTCAGGCTGTGATGCCTCTGTCCTTGTTCTGCAGCTCCTCTTCTCAGTCAGGGTCCACAGCAGAGCGACAGGACAGTATTCTAAAGGGTGTTGATAGTGTGCTGTGATTAACTTTTAAGAATTACCGTGCTGGGCATGGTGGGACATCCCTGTTGTCCAAGCCAAGGGGGCAACCATTGTAGCACTGCCGCAGGTTCAAGGCCAGCCTGATCTACTTAGCAAGTTTCTAGCTAGCTATTCAGCTATGTCTGTGCAGAGAGTCCATGCCTCAGTAATAAATAAGTAAATAAATAACTAAATAAACCAAAACATACAATAAAAGAAACAATTGAGTTCATGAATTGATTAATATAATCAATACTTCCAATTTTATCCAATCATAAGACATGAATGAAAGTACAAAGAACTAATTTTTATACACCAAAAACATTCAGGTTAACCTTCTTCCCAATTTAATGTGAAATTTTAGTGAAATGCTAATTTTTAAAAAATATCATGAGATTTTGTTTTCTTGAACTTTAGGATAATTTTGATATCTGAAAGAATAAAGGGTTTAGAAAAATAAAAAGTTTGTTGGCTTATTTGGGGCAACATTTGAAAGGTAGAGGCTGAAAGATCAGGAATTCAAGGTTATCCTCAGCTACAGAGCAAGTTCAAAGCCAAGCAGCAGGGTTACTAGACCAATGTAGTAGGATTTCAGAATTAACTTTATTTAAAAAGAATATAGAACATGATAAAGACTTGTTATGTTAAAGAAAGTAGAATTTATATAAGTGAAAAATGTATATTATATTCAGCTTAATGACATAAGAAAAAAGTAATTTTAAACTCCAATTCTTTTGTTTGTTTTTTGTTTTTCAGGACAGGGTTTCTCTGTATAACCACCCTAATTGTCTGGGAAGTCATTTTGTAGACCAGGCTGGCCTTGAACTCACAGAGACCCTCCTGCCTCTGACTCCCAAGTGCTGGGATTAAGGGCGTGTGCCACCGCCAATCAACATAGACTCCAAATTCTTACTATATACCAAATGACCTCCAATTTGGCACTCTAAATTATAAAATACAAAGTCATAAAAATTTGAAGACAATTTCATTGGACTTTAATTAAAACTGAAACAAATTCTGGGTATTGGATCTGGATAAAGCAAATACTTTAGATATAATAGGGAAGAGAGATTTGAATTTAAAGTCTGAAAGTTACATATGTCAAGGAAATCTAACTGACAAGGAAAGCAGTGTATAGTGGCAGCATATGAAGGGAAGGTTCTGGTGAAGACTTTGTTTTTAAATACAAAGACTTCCATAAGTTATAAGAAAACATAGACCTAAATCCAGTTGGAGTTCAATCTATGAATGAGAGTCTACAAGAGGGTCAAGTATGGATTAATAACAAGGAAATTAGATGTAAGTCTTGCTTGTAGCTAAGATAATAATAATTAAAATAATGATAATACACTCCCATTTAATTTTTGTTTTGTAAAACTGCTCATTTTAGTTGAGTGTTGGATAAAACTTAAAGAGGTATGTTTTCAGTGGTATAAACAAGAATTGGATAGTACTTTGCCAATAATTACAAAGCATATTGAATATCCTTGCTCTGTGGCCCAAAAAGGTCATCAAAATCGATGGAACATGAAGTTTGGGGAGAAAGCACTGCATGTATGAAGATACCAGGGTTTGTTTTGCTGTGGTGGTGACCTATGTGTAACAACGGCAAAAACTGGCAGTAAGGATGTATGATCCTTAAAATATTATGCAGTTATTTAAAATATGAACTCTACAGAGAAGCAGGATAAGGTATTTATGGCCTAATAACAATGAAAACAGTCAGGACCGAGAACACTAAATCTTGCTTAAATGGGTAATAAACAGACGGGGTGTAGGTCGTCAAAGTGAAATTATCTTAAGAGAGAATTTTGTGTTTTCTCTTTGTTTTGTATGAAATGCTTTCATAATTCAAAGTAACAGTTAACCACAATAACAATTTAGAGGGCGTGTTTTGCTGTCCATTTTGACAGTCACTGAAGTCCTAGAGGTAAACAGAAAGCTCATGTTCTGTTCTGTTGTAGATACTGCCTAGTGTGGACATCGATAGCATTTCATACAGCAGCGTTGATAGGTTCTCCTCTCCGCCAAGTCCCAAAGAAGCCTCTCTTCCGCCATTGCACACCTGGATCCAGGTAGGTGTCAGGGTTCTGTTGTAACTGTTACTCCATCAGGAGTTGTTTCTCTCCTTCCAGTATGTGGGTCCCAGAAATGAAGCATTGGTTGTCCAGTTTGGGGACAAGCACAGGTACAGACCTGCTGAGCCATCTTGCTAGTCCCGTTTTTTTTTTTTTTTTTTTTTTTAACTTTAACACCAGTGTAATCTGTTTCTGTCGTTTCTGAGTCTGCGAATGTGGACACTTGCATAGCTGCACTTTTAAGTACTTTCCTCAGCCTGTTGATAGGTGCTTTAACGTTTCCATGGAGTGCGGGGGAGATGGCTCAGTGGGTAACAGTGCTTGTGGCTAAGCTTGAGGACCAGAGTTTGATCCCTAAGACCCACATGATAGAAGGAGAAAACTGATTCCTGTATTTTTCCTTTGACCCTCTACATGATGGTTTGGTGTCATCATGGGCACACACAAAATAAACAAATGTAAATTTTTAAAATTTGTATTTATTGATTCAGTTTAAATGTCAGACTGGCACTTTTGTTTATTTTGTCTTTTGAACCAGGGTCTACACTGTAGCCCTGACTATCTTAGAACTTATCAACTAGCCCAACCGGAACTCACAGTAATCCTCTGCCATGGCCTCCTGATCATTTTTTTAAAAATATTTTTATTGAAAAAATTTTCTATAGCTCTTGAAATGATGAGATAATGGGTTGAGGACTAACCTGGGTTTTATTTACTAATTAAATCAGTTCTGAATAGAATATTAAAATAATAAGGCTGTATGAAGGTTATAGTATATGTGAAAACCTGATAGATTATATGGGCATATTTTAAGATTGGAAGCAATAAAACTTTCTACTATTTCCTTAGACTCCAGAATTTATGAAAGTGGATGAAGAAGAGGCAAAGCTCCCAGGAACTGACTTTGATGAAGTAGTTGATGTTATTCAGGTAAACAAAGCTTAGACACAGAGTCGTTTTTCCTACAAATACTTTTCCAGGTAGTTGCATGCATTCTGGCTGTCATAACTATGTTGCATGGCTTTAAGAAACATGTTTTTACTTTGATTTAAATAGACTTTAATTTCTAAATATGATTATTTAGATTTCTTTTAAAATTATGAGGTGTTTTTCTGTAGTATAATTTTGTCTTCATAAACTTAATGACAGCCCACCGTTTCCCACCTGGAACATGACCTGCTGCCTTCATTTCTCTGGCTTTCTCCGTTTTATTACATTTAACCTTGATTTCTGAAGGCAACGCTAGGTTTATTTTGAGAAAAAAACAACTTATAGTCTGAAACCCAAGGATGGATGTCAAAGTTATGAAATTGATGGCAATAGTAAAATAGGAGACATCTAGCATTAGCAATAAGTCATTCACATTTCCTTGACTTTGAAACTAAGATGATTTTGTTCATGAAAACTGAGGGCTGGAGAAGTGGCTCCAGGGGTGAGCATTTGTTGCCCTTGCAGAGCCCCTGCGTTCAGTTCTCAGTGCCCAGCATGGCGACTCACAGCTGCCCATAACTCCAGCTGCAGAGGATCCGACTCCTGCCTTCTGCTGCCTCCTGCACACATGTGCTTCACGTGCTTAGACTCAGGCGCACACACAAAATAAATACATAGTTGAATGAGATCTTATTTTAGATTATGCATGGGTGTGTGTTGTATTTTTGTACCCAAGGTGTTTTCCCATGTGAATTCTACACAAGTGTTTTGAAGCTAGGAGCCTTGTTTGTCTTTATATTCCTAACGTCTAGCACGCTCTTGTCTGGCTGACTTGTTTGTCAAGGTGCAAGTGGAAGAAGCGGTTGTAGACTTAACAGTAGATTTGGGTTAAGTGACAAGAGTCTCTTACTCCAGCTCTTTCTCTCACTATCTGAGGGCTTTGTTCCTCAGTAGAATATTGATGAACTGTGATATATAAAGAGAATGGGCATTTTTGAGATGCTTAATTATAGAGAAAATTATCTGTGTGGTTTGGGTCAGAATGACGTGTGAAAGAGAAAGTGGATGGGGTAGAAGGTTTAGGTGACAAGGTTGACCAGGAGTTGATAGTTGTTGAAGCTGGTGATCAGAGACATGTAATTCATATCATCTACGTATAACGTGTATTAATTAGGCATTATTTTATAAACTTTTAAAGATAAGGCATTTTTCATAAGGAAAAGTTAAAAAGTTCACAGAGATGACTTTGGGCTGTGATACGGTAATGAAAGTAATGCATAGGATTAACTGTGTATTTAAATGTAAATTTCAGCTTCTGATAGAATGAAGAAATATTTGGGATTATCAGGTTTTTTGTGATAATCAAGTTCATAAATTTCTGGATATTTCATAATGTTTAATGCTAGAATCCCCAACTTTTTTAGCTATTGAGTATATATAGAATGAATATCAAATTTTATTTATTTATTTATTTATTTATTTTGAGACAGGGTTTCTTTGTGGCTTTGGAATCTGTCCTGGAACTAGCTCTTGTAGACCAGGCTGGCCTCGAACTCACAGAGATCTGCCTGCCTCTTCCCCTGCAATGCTGGGATTAAAGGCGTGTGCTACCACTGCCTGGCCTGAATTTTATTTTTTATGTTGTGTGTATGGTGATGTGGACTCAAACCCAGGGCTTTATACAGGGTAGGCAGCTGTTCCACCCCTGAACTACACCCAGAGCCTGAACACAGTTTAAAAAACACAAACCATGTAAATGCATTTTCTCCAGTGTCATGTATGATCGCTATCTGTGCTGTGTAGTGTGTATGCTATATTTAAGTCTTATCACTTAAGTGGAAAGATCATTGGCTGGTTTGTGAATGTTGGTTAATTCATATAGCTGAGTTCTTTGCCTATGCTTGGCACTCATGTTGAGCAGATGTATGAATATAATACTTGGTTTTTATGATGTTGCCAGGAAGAGGAACAGCGTGATGAAATTCCCGAGTGCTCTGCCCCGGTGCTGGAGTTTAACAGAAGCGTTAAGGTCGTTCCTACAGAATACAACGGTCCTTCGTTTCCTCCGGTGGTCTCTACTTTTCATCCCACTACGGATATTTTGGATAAAGTAATTGAGAGGAAAGAAACATTGGAAAATAGTTTAATTCAGTGGTAAGTTTCTAATCCTATTGGCATTCATAGAATCAGAATAGCAGATATAAATGGACGTGGCTTAGAGGAGTACTCAGTAAGAATGAAACATAGGGTACTGGTGTGTAAATAAAGCAAGAGACACAGTATAAACCTAGTGTATGACACCTTAATATAAGTTTGCACCAAACAAGTGTATGAAATATATATGAGGTTATTAAGTGTACTTATCTCTGGATCTAGTATTACGAGTGAACCTTACCAATTTTTAAAAACAATTCATTTTCTGAATTTTCCACAATGAAATCAATCATTTCTATAACAATAGTTTTTACTGTGCCTGTTAACGGCCCTAAGCAATGAATTGGAAGGAATCTCCTAGTTTTCCCTTTTCTTTCCCTCTTCCTACCAGTGACCTTGGAAATAACATTTTTCTTCTTTTTCAAGGAAAAGAACCCTCCTGGAAAAGTTTCTACCCTGCCTTGCTATCTGTTTGTGTTTTATTGAGAAGAGAACAGGACTTTTTCTAGCATTTTTAAAATAAAATCACTTCATTCTAACTAACTCACAAGTAGAAACATTCCATGGCTAGTTTAAGGGTGCTGTGTAAGCCTTTCCCCGTCCCAAACTCTGCTCAGTGAGCTTCATGGAGCTTTGATCTGGTGTGACTGTGTGTGTGTTCTCTGGGTGAGACACACAGTTTCAAGTGCATAGTACACTGGATGATCATCCACCCAAATCTCAGAGTTAACTTGGGGCTTGCAGGTAGCTTTCTGTCAGGCTAGTATGAAAGCTCTAAGTCTGTTTCATAGTCTGTCCCCCAGGAGGGCTTCCCACGCTTGTTCTTTTCCTTCCAGGTGTAACTGTCAGATGGCTGCTTTCCCGTGGCCGTGCTGTGAGCACAGCTTATTCTTAAAGGGGACAATAGCTAACATTTTATACTTTTAACCAATTTAGGTGTATTTAACTTTATACTTCTAGGGTAGAACAAGAAATAATGTCAAGAATTATCTCTGGGCTCTTTCCGCTGCAGCAGCAAGCCAGACTCGATGCCAGTGTTTCCATTAGTGAGACAAGCGAGCCATCAGCTTCTGACATTGGTACGTGAAGTAGACCTGTTGTCATTGTTGCTATTAAAAGATAAAGCCTTTATTTATTTTTTTGTGGATTTCTGTATCCTGGTGGTCACCTGGATCCTTGCTGTCTTACTTTCTGCTTCTCTGTGGATGACATTAGCTTTTGGGTTACTAAACCATTCTCCATATATATATATATGTATGTACATATGTAAGTTATATAAATATATTATGTAAGTATATTCGTTATATATTTTTGTGGAGAAACAATAGAATACTGTGTGAGTGCATGAGTGCATGCATGCCCAGGCCAGAGATAGCTTTTGCAGTTCAGTTCTCTCTTGCACAGTAAGTTCTAGGAGTAACTCAGGTCATCAGCTTCGGGGGCACTTCCTTTCTTTCTGGCCCCTACTTTTTTTTTCTCATTGCTGCAGTCAAGTACCTAACAGAGGGAAACTTAGAGAGGCAGGATTTGTTTGGGCTGGTGGTTTGAGAGGGTAGAAGTTCCTTGTGGTGGCAAAGACGTGCAATGGGAGCATGAAGTGACTGGTCACGTCACATCCTCAGGAAGCATAGGAGACGTAAATGTGTCATACTCAGTTCCTTCCTCTTTTGAATGCAGTCCAGAGCCCTAGTCCATGGGATGGTGCTGCCCATTGAGTGAGTGTTTTTCTCCTACTCAAGCCTCTCTGGAAATGTCCTCACAGACATGTCTAGAGGTGTGTCTCCTAGGTGATTCCAAAATCCACCAAGATGACAAGATTAATCATCACAATCCATTTATAATAGGTATCAGAGTTTATTCTAGTCTTACATACCGTCCTCACTCACCAGACTATGAACCATTCAGTATTATAGACGCTGCTTCTTCAGTGCCTCGTTTTTTACTGGTAACCCCATGAGGGCTTAAGCATTCACTGAATGGCTCAGCGAGGCTTTCTTTAAGCTCACGCCATTCCTCTGCCTCTCCCTCTTGCATCTCTTTGACTCTGATTCTTCTTTTCCACTTTCTACCCCACAATTTGTCTTTTTTTCCCTCCCTACCCCCCACCCACTCAACTCTCTGTCCTTTCTTTCTCTCTTTAGAACACAGACAGGCAAACAAACAAACCAGAATTGGGGGCGGGGAGGGAGTAAAAAGAAAAGAAAGAAAAAGCACAAGAAACACACACACCCCAAAACAAAATTCATAAAAACACAAAGTCAGAAAACATGATATACAAATAAAAAATCAATAAGACCAAAAAGCTCAAACCAAGCAATACAACACAGAAAGTCTGTAGACGTACCATTGAGTTCTTTTTGTATTAGTCCTTACTGCTGGGGTTGGAGACTCCCCTAAAGTGTGGTTTATGTGCCCAGCGAGGCTCCACTAGAGGAAACTAAGTTTTCTTTTGCACACTTGTAGATAGCTTCTTGGTTAGGGCTGAGAGTTTGTGTTGACTTTCCCTTCTCATTTGGTATCTGGTCTGGCTTGAATCTGTGCAGGCCCTGTGTATGCTATCATGGCTTTTGTGAGTTTAAATGTTCCCTGAGCCCTGAGAGTTTGATGAATGTGTCCCACTTAGGACTGAGTATTCTAGTCTCTCACTCCGCACATTGTCCAGTATGGGTCTCTGTGTTAGCAGGCTCAGCTTTAAAGCCTTTGGTAGGCATGCTATAATCCATGTCATCGCAGAGGTTAGTATAGTAAAGGGTTAGGGAGGAGGGGGAGGTCTCCTGAGGAAGGGGAAATAGAATATACAGTGTGGAGAGGCAGCAGGAGGATTAAACAGGACCGGGGAGGGAAGAAGGGGGTAGTAGGAGAGGGAATATCGGGAGGGACAACTAACACTGAGTGCATTTGAGGGGTCAAATGGAAATACAGTACTTTAGAAGCCTCTCTCTCTCTATATATATATATAATATATATATGTATATGTACACACACACATATAAAATGAAGACATCAGTCTTTATAAATGGTAATTTAGTTGCCTTAGAGTCGCCAGTTCTACATATGCAGTTTGACGAGTTTTAAAGTAGCTATGCGTTTCTGTCAATACCAAAGTATCTTTGAGCTGCTTTGCAGACAGTTCCCAGGCTCTGCCGATGCGCGGTTGCCCCAACAACTGTGATTTGCCTTTCTGTCACTGGATTTTAATCTCTTGAAGACTTTCATACATGTGTATTACATAACATTTTTGTTGTTGTTGTTGTTGGCTGACTTTTACTTAGCTTGGCATTATGTTAACTTTAAAATGTATAGTGTGTTTGTCCACCTTAATTTGTGTGCAGCAGATGTTCTTTTTAAAAACATTTTTTTTTATTCCTGTTTTTCCAATTTTGGATTAGCCTATTCTTCCTTTACAGACTGCCCTTTAAACTCCCAGACCCTGTTAGAGAAGCTTGAGGAACAGCATGCAGTGTTGTGATCACGCACCTGAACTAGAGGGAGGGGCGTGGCTCCTGCTTACTGCATCCTGTGTTTGCTGAGGAGTGGACATGGCATTGTTTTCAGCTGAGGACATTAGCACAGATGTGACATTCATTAATTTCTGCAGTGGGGGGAAGAAGTCATATTAAACTTGTTTATTAAACCAAGTTTGTTGCTTTGTTGAAAGAGGATGCTTATTTACGCTGTTATCTGTCCTTCTGAGGCAAGTAGACTTGCTTCTCTTCTTATCTTTGCTCTTCCTCCCATCCTCATCACCCATAGATCAGCGTGTCTAAGCTGTAAGAATGAAGGTCTGGCTGGTAAGCCATGTTTCTTGGCGTTATTTGAAGTTCTTGTTTCTCAGTTGTAGGGACGAGCAGTGGAGCACTCCAGCTTTTTGTCGATGCTGGGGTTCCTGTGAGTTCAGACATGATCAGCCATTTTGTGGATGAAGCACTTGCTGAGACCATTGCTGTCATGTTAGGTGACAGAGAGGCAAAGAAGCCAGGGCCTGTTGCCACAAGTGTTTCTGGTGATCCTTCATCAAATGAAACTAACCTGCCGGTAGGAATGACTTTACCTCCTTTTGTGACTTGAGAATTGTGGGGAAATTTTTTAGACATTATTTAAGAGCAAGTGTGTATGTGTGTATCTGCTTGAGATAGGGTCTTACCCTAAAGTCCAAGCTGGCTTGGAGCTCTGTATTCCGGGGTGGCCACAAGATCATGATAATTCTCCTACTTCAGCCTCCTAAATGCTAGTATTATACGTGGGAGCCATTTCAACTGCATAAAAAGATACGTTTTAAACTTCCTGTTGTAAGATTGTAAATTGTAGCTGGGTGGTTGTGGCGCACACCTTTAATCCCAGCACTCAGCAGAAGCAGGTAGATCCTTGAGTTTGAGGCCAGCCTGGTCTACAGAGTGAATTATAGTACAGCTAAGGCTACATAAAGAAACCCTATCTCAGAAAACAAAGCAAAAATAAAAAGAGATCATAGAATGCAATAGAATCTTGTTCCTTGTTTCTGTAATTAACATTTCCCCTAGCATATAATTATTTTATTTTTGAGATTGGGTTTCTTTTAGCCCAAGCTGGCCTTAAAGTCTCTATGCAGCTGAAGCTGACCTTGAACTGGGTTCAGGTATGAGCAATCACACTCAACCTTTTTTTTTTTTTGTTTCTATTTTATTTATTTATTTATTTATTAAAGATTTCTGTCTCTTCCCCATCGCCGCCTCCCCTTTCCCTCCCCCTCCCCCAATCAAGTCCCCCTCCCTCGTCAGCCCCAAGAGCAATCAGGGTTCCCTGTCCTGTGGGAAGTCCAAGGGCCCACCCACCTCCATCCAGGTCTAGTAAGGTGAGCATCCAAACTGCCTAGGCTCCCACAAAGCCAATACGTGCAGTAGGATCAAAGAACCCATTGCCATTGTTCTTGAGTTCTCAGTAGTCCTTATTGTCCACTATGTTCAGCGAGTCTGGTTTTATCCCAGGCTTTTTCAGACCCAGGCCAGCTGGAACCTTTTTTTTTTTTTTTTTTTAGAAATTTTTAAATCTGCAGAAAAGTTGCATGTGTGACACAGTAACCATTTTTTTCCCTGTATTTACTTACATTTCACAGTTGATGGCAGTTGAACATATTTCTAAAATCTGTCTCTATATCTGCCCTATATTAAAAAATTATTTTATTGTTTTAAATGTATGGGTGTTTTTTTTCTGCACGTATGTCTGCCACTTGTGTGAAGTTCCCACAGAAACCAGAAGGTGGCATCAGATCTCCTGGAAACAGACAGTTTTGAGCTTCCATGTGGGTGCTGGGCATTGAATCCAGGTATTCTGGACGAACTGCTAAGCCTTGTCTCTCCAGCCCCCTATTATATTTAAAAACATCCAGAAGTTGAGGATATATGACTCTACCTTAAAACCACTGGCAGTATTTCCTAAGAAAGTTTCTTTGTTTTTTTATTAATTATTTCAGTAAACATACAAAAATAATGGGTTATAACATTTCACACATATGTTGTTTGCTTCTCTCGTGTCCTCTGCCTTCCTTCCTCTCTTTGTCCTCCTCCCTTACACAGCGTGTGATAGGTGATAGATGTATGCGCTTTAATGACTCGATGCTCAGAGTGAGACTTTCTGACCCGGTCCCCGTGCGCCTCTCTTCGCTCACTGCGCTGCACATGTTTTCATGGCAGTGATTAAGACAGTTTGGAAAAACAAGTATAAACAGGGAGTGTATAATTGTTGAGAATAAAGGCTTTTGGGAAAACTTGAACTGATACCTCAACTCTATATTTTATTTAGCCTTTTCTATACAATAGAGATACTTTTAGAGTTTAAAAATCCCCTAAAGCCGGATGATGGTGGCGCACGCTTTTAATCCCAGCACTCGGGAGGCAGAGGCAGGCAGATCTCTGTGAGTTCGAGACCAGCCTGGTCTACAAAGCTAGTTCCAGGACAGGCTCCAAAGCCGCAGAGAAACCCTGTCTCAGAAAACCAAAATAAATAAATAAACAAGCAAACAAAAAACAAACCCCTAAATTTTTAAGTTTAGTTTTGGGAGTTTTTTATTTTTTAGGAGATGAGGTTTTATTATATTGCCCAAGCTGGCCTCCAACTCTTGAATCTGGTTAATCCTCCGTGTTTCTTTCAGAGGCAGAGTTACTTCAATTGCCCAAGAGTATTACACTGGCAACTAAATACTTAAGAACCAGAGAACTTTTAAGGTCCTATGTTATTGTTACTTTGCCCATCGCTTAAATTCTGTATAGTCCATGATTGAGTTCATGTTACTGCTTCATATTGATTTTGTTTGGGTGATTATAAACATGGTGTGTCTTGTTTCACTAAATTATCTTAGGTAAGAGTTTGTACTCCAGTAGCTACACCACAGCCTACTCCTCCATGCTCACCACCGCCTCCTCAGGAGCCCGAGTTAGTAAAAACTCCAGATTCTTCTCCCTGTGACTCTGATCAGGATGTGGCTTCCCCTCTTAAAGAGATATGTGCTGAAAAAGGTAGAAACCTTGTTTCCTTAAAAACATTGGTTTGTATGTGTGTGTGTGTGCACACGCACACCATGGTACGTGTGTGGAGGTCAGGGGAGAACTGTGAAGCTGGTTTTCTCATTCATATGGGACCATGACTGAAGAACTCTGGGTGTCAGCCAGGTGCTTCACTTGCTGAAGCATCTTGCCTGCACCTAAAAATTCTGTAATTCAGTTTTACTTTTGGCAACTATAGTTTTTGATTAGGAAATACCGTTTCTTGCAAGGAAACTAAGGAATTGTTTATGTAGCTGTCACAGAATACCATACACTAGGTAATTTATACGTTAAAGAGGTTTTTTTGTTTGTTTTCTTAAAATTTAGGAGTCTGTGAAGTCAAGCCAAGGGGCTGCCTCTGGTGAGAGCCCCCTTGCTATATCTTGAATGACAAAAAAGCATTCTATAGCAGCCAGAGAGCCTGCAAGCCGAGGTCTTATTTCTCATGGAACTGCTAATCCCGTGTCAGGCTCATCTACCCCTGGGTAGCTCACAAGGGGTCTTGCTGCACACTGCAACGTGTGGATTGAGGATTAAGTTTCTAACATGAATTTGCAGGGGAGCCATTCATGCCTCGCTATTGTTTCTGAAAATATGTAATCTAATAACTGCTTAGACTGCTTTCAATGTATGGCAGTTCTAAAAATGCCATCCTTTCAAGGTTTTACTTTTTATACCTTAACAATTTTAGAAATTTTATTAAAAGCCGTTATTGTTGTCATTGTTATGATTGCCATTATTTCAATGCCAGAGGTTATCTGGAACAGTAAGTCATCTTACTAGAAAGCTGCTTACTGAGTTGTTTTTTTTTTTATCTTCAGAAAGTGATGTACCTGCCGTCACACTTGTTAGTACCCCAGTGGTTACCCCGGTTACCACACCTCCTCCAGCAGCAGCGCTTACCCCAACTTTGTCTGAAATTTCCATTGACAAGTTGAAGTTATCAAGCCCTGAACTTCCTAAGCCATGGGACAGTGGAGACCTGCCGCTGGATGAAGAGAATCCCAACTCTGTTGAAGAACTTGTTCACCCGAGAGCTATGTAAGCGCGAGCACACCCTTGTTCTGCAGCCCTGCCAGTCCTCTCTGGACACTCTACTCCTGCATGTAAAGTGGATAAGAAGGCCTGGGGGGTGGCTTGTTAGGAAACCCAGGAACAACTGAGGTTGTTACTAAATTGCTAATCCTCCTGGCTTGGCCTTCTTAGTGCTGGGAAGGCAGGCATGTTGCCACCATTCATGGTTTTCATCTATTCTTTAGGAAAAAAAAAACAAATTGTATACAATATAAATATTTTTAAATTAAATTTATTCATACTGTCTCATCTTTGCAAAAGGCTTAGGTAAGTTAAGAGTAAACTGTCAGATTACTAATGAAATATAAAATAATTTCTCTAGTGTAGATCATCATTTACTGTAATCAATTAATGTTTATATTACTAAATTCACATATAAATTTCCTTTGTGGCTAGAGCAGCTTTCAAGGTGGCTCCTGATTAAAGCACAACACCTCCGGAAAATAACTTGTTGATTAGTTATGTTAGTGTAGATCATATAAATACTTTGCTAAAAGAGACAGTTAAGTCTGTTTTTGTATATATGAATGGATGTAGACCTTCAGTGAACTTGAATTGAAAATGTGCCTTTATCTTGTTAGTGTAATGTCTGTGGCCAAAGATGAAGAACCTGGGAGTGTCGACTTCCCTGCCCAGCCTGCACCACTAGAGCCTGCTCCCTTAACCCCACTTCCTGAGGGCACCAAGGCCCCTTCTCCTCGGCAGATACCGAGTTCCGGCTCATCAACACTGGAGAACTCTTTGAGCATTAGTGCCACTGAGACAGAAACTCTGGACAGACATATCTCTGAAGGGGAGATCTTACTTAGCTGTGGCCAGAACTTGGCTAACAAGAGTAAGTTAACATACAGTAATTGATTTTGTTGGTTACATTATAGTAATTTCCCTAGTGATAACTTCTGTTAAAAATGTTTTTCTGAACTTTCAAGTTTTAGCATGGCATAGTAGAAAGAAGAGCTGCTCTGTGAGGGTGGTTAGCTTCTCTGGGCTCTGACTTTGAAGAATAAAATCTCCCTCAGAATTCTTTCCTTTTAGAATTAATTTGATTTTTTTTAATTTATTTATTTATTATGTATACAATATTCTGTCTGTGTGTATGTCTGCAGGCCAGAAGAGGGCACCAGACCTCATTACAGATGGTTGTGAGCCACCATGTGGTTGCCGGGAATTGAACTCAGGACCTTTGGAAGAGCAGGCAATGCTCTTAACTGCTGAGCCATCTCTCCAGCTAATTTGAAAATAGCTTGAGATATATTCTATCAACCTGTTTTTTTTTCTCTGCATACGCAGACACACAAATACATACTTATGTGTTTATATGTACCTTTATATAGGATCATGCTGTGTATATTATTATAAAACCTGAACTTTTTACCAGGTAATGTGTGGTAAGCATATCTCAACATCAGCACATGGGTCATGTCTTTTTCCAGTGGTGTGTGATCTATCCAGGTAATGCTTGAGTGAAGGGGTTCATGTGGATAGTTTCTGTGTTGTGGACTACATACCAGGCTGTAACAGCCACTGTTGCACGTAGCTTCCATAGCCCATGTCTGCAAGTGGAATTGCTGAGGCAGAATTGCCTCCCTCAAGTTAGCAATGCGCTGTCAGTGTGCTTCCTGGAAAGATGAACCGCTTTTAGTGGTATTCACTATTCAGTGTGTTTAACAGCCTGTCGAGGTGCCCATGTCTCAGCGTCATAGCTGCTGTGCTGCTTGCAGTCACTTTAAAATTCTGACCTGGGGCTCAGTGCCTGAGAGCACTGCTGGAGGATCTCTGTTCAGTTCCCAGCACCCGTATGCTGGCTCACACTTGTTTGTAACTCTAGTTCCAGGGGCTCAGATGCCATCTTCTGGCCTTCATGGGTACCAACCATGTACACAATGCACAGGCCTACATGCAGGGAGAACACTCATACACATAAAATGATGACTAAAAATTAAATTAAAAAACAATTCTGAGCCAGGCGTGGTGGCGCACGCCTTCCAGCACAGGGAAGGCTGAGTTCAAGGCCAACCTGGTCCACAGAGTGAGTTCCAGGACAGCCAGAGAAGCCCTGTCTTGAAAACAGACAGACAAACAAACAAACAAACAAACACCCCCAACAACACCAAAAACTTTGACAGAGTAGGTGAAATAAAAAGCTGTGTAGGCGAGTAATTTATTTAATAATGACCTAAATATGAACTTTACCAGTTTTTCTACTGAACTGTAAGTTCAAATATAACATTCTGTGCTTTCTGGCCAGATTACTTAGTAAATGTCTTCTGGTTTTCTAAATCACTCTGCTTTGCTTCAAGTCTTAGGAAATGGGGACTTGCACCTGCTGAACGGAAACGACAGCCTATCCAGCACTCTGCAGGATGCCTTCGACATGGTAAGGAAGAACTGACTGCGGCTGTGCTCTCGGTGGCTGTGTGAAAATAAGATCGTCTTTTGAAAGATACTGGTGTCATTTCTTCCTACAGTTTTATTAGTCATAACTGTTTAATAACCTCTTCTGATGTCCTTGTGTTTGCTTTAGGAAGACGACCCTCCCAGCGAAGGACAGGTGATTAGGAGGCCCCACAAAAGGCTTCATCCAAATGCTATTCTTTCGCTTTTTACTAAGCAAGAACAGGAGTTACTAGTTTCACAGCAAGCAGAGGTAATGTTCAACCATAAAGATGTTGGTTCGTTTGTCTAGATATAAATATAGGGGGAAATTAAATAACTAAATTTAAAAAAAAATTGTGGAAACAGGGTTTCTCTGGTAACAGCCCTGGCTGTCCTGGAACTCACTTGGCAGAGCAGGCTGGCCTTGAACTCACAGAGCTCCTCCTGCCTCTGCCTCCTGAGTGCTGGGATTAAAGGTGTGCACCTCCACTGCTCTGCTAATGTTTTCTCACTTTTCAGCATGTTGACCAGGCACGACCAGGCATGTGACTACAGTCTTAGCTCTCAGAAAGCTAAGGCAGGATGATTTGGGGTCTGAGAATAGAACAGAATACATAGCAAGACCCTGCCTCAAAAAGAAAGAAAAATAGTTATTTGTATAGATAGAATCTTTTTGGTAGTCGAGGCATATGATTCCCATCAAGTAACATAAAGTCCCCACTAGCAGTTTTAAGCAATTTTAATTCAAAAGAAATGAGAAGTATACTTTTTATTCCAATTTAAGCTGTTCAAACAATGTATAATGGGTACCAGTATTTAATATTTTAAGTTTTCTTAGATATTATTTCTGTTTAATTGGAGCTTGAAAACCAATAATAATAGTCAGTGCTTGCCACACAAGCATGAGGGCCTGAACTTAGATTTCCCTCAGCCAGTAAAAAGGTGGGGATGGTAGTGTGCACCTCAATACCAGCTCTGGAAATGCAGACACAATAGGATCCCAGGGGCTTCCTGGCCAGCCACTAGAGACAATGGGTTGAACTATGGGTTCAATGAGAGATTAAATGTTTAAGAAAGACACATGCTGTTGACTTCTGGCCTCTACACACACACACGCATACATGTGTATGTGCAGCTCTACCCCACCCCCATCTAAACATACACACATAGGGAAACGCACACACACATACATGTGTATGTGCAGCCCCACCCCACACCCATCTACACATATGCACATGGGGAAACACACACATAGTACTGTATGCCTGATTAAACTTTTGTTTGAAAACATGTTTACATTTATTTATTGTATATGTGAGCCTGTGGGCCCCGGGCTCGAATTGAGGTCATCAGACTTGCAGCAATCATTCTTACTTGCTGAGCCATCTTACCGCTCCTTAAACCACCTTCTTAGACTTCCCTTTCATGTACCTTAAGTGTGACATTATAAGCACTTATGTGTTTTGTATCATGATATTTTAAAAGTATTTCCTTCTTTGACTGTCTAATACAATGGCTTTAGCAATTTTTCTTGTTTTGTAAGGACTTGGATAACAGTGTGGGCGAGCTTAGCGAGGGACAAAGGCTCGTGTTGACAGCCGCGGAGGACATCTTAGCGGGAGCATCTGTCTGTGTGCTGCAGCCCACTCCAACTGCAGAGCCTTCCGATCGGCGAGCAGACCCTGGGATGTCACTTCAGCCTGACATGGCCGCAGGTACACACAACAGAGTTGTTTCTTAATGCTTCTGTAACTTTTACCTTGAATCCTGTTTCAGGTTCTTCTTCTTCTCATGCTGATGGCTATAGTGTGTTTTACATTATAATCTTATAGTCATGTCCTTTGTCTGACTTGAGAAGTTCAGCTTTTTTTTAAATGGAGGCTTGAAGATTTATTTATTAAAGGTAGTAACTTTTCTATGATACACATACTTTTTCCTGAACATGATTTATATGTTTTTGTTAGTATATGCACCATTGGGAAGGATATGAGATAGTTTTTATATATATACAAATGCTTAAAGCTTTTAATGCAGGTGTACTATTTTAATGCAGGTGTACTATTTTAATGTGTAATAGCAAATGTAAGCAGCCCCTCAGAACCAGCAGTCCTGTGTGGGACAAAGTTGGATGAGATCATACTGCTGTTACTCTTTACACTGTGTGAGTTTCCAGATGCAGTGTTCAGTGCATTTGGGCTATCTTAGAGAGTAACTAGAATTTCTGTTTTTAGCCCTTTGGAAATTACTAGCCTTAGTTAATTTCTATTGTCTGTGGTAGCTGTAGCCTATAAAGTAAGCATGTATATATTAGCAAACACTGAACCTTTGCTCCTAGGAGAAATAGAGGATTGGATTCTAGCAAGCCTCTTGCATAACCTGGTTTCGTGTATATTTCTGTTTGAAGACACTGTGTTATGTTGTTGATTCCTTACATCACAGCCAGTAGCACTGTAACTCATGCCTGAAGGAAGTATCTCTAACACACACATCTCCATAGGCATGACAGAACCTCGTTATGTTCAGGAACATTGGACAGTAATTGTTTTTTAAAATGGCTTGGGTGCCATTCTAAGTAGTCGTGTGTGTGTGTGTGTGTGTGTGTGTGTGTGTGTGTGTGTGTGTGCCTCTCTCACATGCACACACACACGAATGGGGATGGAGGAGAGATGGAGAGGAGACAGAATGAACAGAGAATGTGAACACTTGGCATTAAGCTGACTGCCAAGGTCACCTTTTACAGTGCCAGAGCGAAAGTGCCTGTGCAGAGTGGGGAACTGGATGCTGGGTTGGGTCAGCTTTTTACCACTTCAGAGGGATCCACAAATCGACCATAAAGTTTCTATAAATATTAATCTTTAATTAGAAATATGTTTCTGTAAATGGGTAACTTTGCAGATGGAAATTGGCCACTTAATTGAGCTCTGTATGTTCTTTGTTTCTGACTTTTTCAGGCTCGTTACTGCATTCTGTGTAAGGTTGGTGCAGAATGAATTGAGGTTTCAGGTTGAATTTTAAGCCACTGTAACTAGACTCAAACTAGATCAAATAGGGATCATTATAGTCAGTACAATTTTTGTCAACAAAAAATAGATTTGCTTATTGCTATAAAAAACTGTATGCTTCATAGTTTGACAAAATCTTGGAAAGTATTTTCTGCGTTCCACTGGCTGTGAAGTACTTATCCTGCTAACGGTTCTGTGGGCGTGTTAGCTAGTGAGAGAGAGGCGAGTTTGGTCTTGAGGCAAAACTTGGTAGCTAATTTCATCAAACCCAGTTTGTTCACCTTTTGAAGCGTGTGTGGGCTGTGGGGCTGGCGGTTGGATGTGGTCATGGAGAATACCCTGATAGAAGAATTGGACCCTCTCTGACCAACGCTGCTCTCAGGCTTCTCACAGTTTTCTGCATCTGTTTGCTGAGCATACTTGTCAGATGTAATGGTTTCCTGGGATTCAGAACGCGGTCGTGGGTAGATTGGCAGCAGACAGTACTCAGGATCCGTGTTTATATGCAAGGTTAGCTTTGGGAAGCGTTTGGGCTCCTCAGTCCAACCACTGAGTTGACGGTTGTCATATACAGCCCAGCTTTTGTTTCATGTCACAGTCCAGTCAAGAAATGGTTGTTAGTGCTGCGTGGAGTGACGGGTGGAAGCTGGGATGTGTGGTTGTTAACAAAGCCTTTAGCCATCTGAGGGCCTCACTGAGTTCTTTCAGTGACCATTTAGTCCACATGGAATTCTTGCCAACTTCTAGTCTAGTTGTAAGAACATTACATCAGCTTCGGTAATTAATCATTGTCAGATTTCCATGACCAGGCCACTCCCCTCCTCATCTTCAGGCCCCTCACATTTGCAGACCATCTTGACACACCTCTGCCTTATATGCTGAGTAGCAGTTCCTGGGCCAAACGCAGTGTTAACGCTGGTAGTTCTCTACACTGCTTTGTCACCTGTTCTGAAACAGAGTAAGGAAATTACTTCAATTTGCCTCTTTTCCAAAATAATTTTTACGTTATAAAATAAATATAAAGTAGGCAGCAAGTAATGTCACTAGCAAAAACCATATGACTCACAAGTATAAGCATTAAAATGATGTAGAACATGACCATATGTAAGAATGTATTCCAATATCAAAGAGAGATTTCATCAATACAAAAAATTTTACTCTTTATGCAACTTAAATGCAGCACTAGGAGTACAGCCTTGCTGAGCTTACATGAGAGCATTTGTGAGTGTTTAGAGCTGGCGTCATACTGAGTAAGAGCCTTCATTGTTCAGAATTGAAGGAGAGTCAAGGCTGAAATTTCTGGCAGGATACGCATAAAATTGCAGCTGTTTACCATTTTGTGCATATGGTGAGAGTATTACACTTGTTACACACTTTCAGGTCAGTATACACGTAGTTCACTGTGCGGAGTGTAATAACAGAGTGGGCTCTAGGGGGCACTCATAGATCACCTGAGAGACACTAGGAGGTGCGCTCTTGTAGACTAAAATCTATGGGTTTACAGCCCTTCTTTCTCTGTAATAATGACCAAAGGGTCACCTGTGGTATAGTAAATAATTTTTGTATTAATGAAAACATGTTTTTAGAAAAATCCTAGTCATTTGATAATGATTAAATTATCTTTTTGAGACAGAGGTAATTATTATCAAAAGGCAAACTTAAGAATAGGACGGATTGTATATAACTTGAATACTTGTTAGTAGGATTAAAATTTTATTGTTTATCTATGTGTGTATGTGTTCATGTGTGTGTACATGAGCACGTGTTCACACCTTTAGATGACAACTTCCAGGCTTGATTCTCTCCTATCATGTGGGTCTCAGGAATTGAACTTAGATCATCAGAATTGCCACCCAGTGCCTTCACCCACTAAACTATCTCAGTGGCCGTTTAGTATGATTGAACAGCCTGTTCTGGATATACAGTATTCTGAAGTATGCAGAAACTGAAAATCGTATATATACTTTATCCTTGCTATCATCCATAAAATATAAACATTGCTTTAGAAAATATTTTGAATATATTTCAGAAATCATAACATCAGAATGCTCCTTTATGGGCAGTTCATAATAATGAAGGACAATTTTTAATAATGACTAGTGTATTAGAAAATCTTTTTTATTTATTTAAAACTTTTATTAGTTTGCAAAGAATTAGGTTTCATTATGCCATTTTAAANTGGAGAGAGAGAGGTGATGTATACACAGTTACCAGAAAAGATTGTCTGATCCTCTCGAACTGGAGTTACACTTGGTTAAGCTGCTAATGTGGGTGCTAGAAGCTAAGCCTGAGTCCTCTGGAAGAGCAGTGCATGTTCTTAACCACTGAACAATTTCTTTAGCTTCTGATTTTCAACAGTAGATTTATTGTATTGTTTTAACCATAGCAAGCAATGTTGCATAAGGTTGAATATGTGTGTATGTGTGAATGTGTGTTTGTGTGTGTGTGCATACAAACATACTTACATATGTGAGTATATTTGGAAGAGGCAGTATAGCTGAGTGGTTGAGAGCTTGGGTTTTTAGAATTTCAGAAATGGATTTTAATTCCAACTCTGTGGGTCTTTATTCAAGTAACTTAATGCCTCTGATTTTTTTCTGATTTTAAAATTTAATTTTAGCATACAAAGTAGTAGATTTCATTTTTGTATTTCCACACACAGATCATACAGTGTTCTTATTCGTCCCTCTCCACCCACTCACCTTTTCCCATCTTCCTAATTTTTGATGGTGTCCTTCTGCCCCGCCAGACAGTTGCCTTTTCTTCCTGTCACGTGCATCCCGTTTCCCTTCCTCCTCCTGTCCCATCTCCAGACACCTTCTGCTCTAGCCACGCATGCACACAGAAGTGAAAGGAGATATCTGTCTGTCTGAGTCTTGTCTAGCTTATTTTCCTTAGCACAGAGATCTCAAGTTCCATTCATTTTCCTACAAATGTCACTTTTTTTCTCTACAGCTGAATAAAATTCTCTCATGTCTCTGTATATTCCTTTTAATCTACCCATCTCTTAATAGATGTTTAAGGTTGCTTGTCTTGGCTTATAAACAGTACATCAGTAATCGGGGATGTGCGTGTGTCCTGTGGTCGTGCTACTTAAGAGTCCTTTGTGGTTTCTGCGGTCCTGTAGGAATTTTGTCTTTAGCTTCTGAGAAAGCTCCTCCTGACTTCAGAATGGCGATGCCAGTTTACCGACAGTGACTAAGGATTTTCTTCACATTTTCTAGCATTTGTTGTCTTTCTCTCTAATAATAGCCAGGCTGATTGGGGTAAAATCTCAAGCAGTTTTTAATTGCATTTCCATAGAAGGTAGGAATATTAAACACTGTTTTGAATACTTATTGATGTTGTGGTTCTGTTTAAAAATTGTTGTCTGTGTGTATAGAGAGATGTGTATGTGTGTATGCCATGCGCTCCCCCAACGGAAGTGTCTGTGTGGAGACCTGAGGTTGATGCTGATGTCATCCGTTATCAGTCTTCACCTGTTTGTTGAGATCATGCCTCTTACTGAGCTTGGCGCTCACCAACTGGCTTGACTGTCCAAAAGTCCTTAGGATTTGCCTGTCTCTATCTTGGCAGCACTGCGGGTACAGACACAGTGGCATGCCTGGATTTTACATGTGTGCTGAAGATCTGAACACAGTTCCTCCTGCTTGCATGGCGAGCATTGTCTCTACCGAGCCATCTCCCAGCTCTGGTTCCTCTTCTTATAAGAG